CAATCAACATCGATTCTGCTCACCATCGGTGGCTCCTCTTGTAAAGTTACCGGGGACATTAATCCACACAGCATCCTTGTCGTACATAACACCACCAACATCGCTCATGGGTGCATGCACAAGAAGTTTTTTCTTTTCGCTCAACTTTCGTCGCTTCTCAGAATCCACATCTGGCAAGGGACATGGGTCGCCGAGCTTCGTCACTGTTTTGATATCCATGTCGCCTACACCAGGAATATGCACCTTGGTGCTTTGCCGCAAATTCGTCCCTCGCAAGTAACCATATAGGGTCACAGTGCGATCGCATCGACCTTTTGTGGTTCTTATCTCCTCGCGCGGCGTCAGGTCTTCTATTCTGTCCGCAAGGAGGTATGGGTGAGTATTCCTAAAGATCAAGGGTCGAAACTTCATGACGCTGATGAAACGGGAAAGATTGAGGATCTCGGTATCGGGATAACGACCGTTGAGAACACCAGAGAGATAGAAAAGCTTTGCGCCTTGATATATCTCATTCCAGAAGCGTCTTTTGAGTAGCTTTTTGGTAGCCCTGAGGGTGGCTTGTTTTTTAATGAGGTCGAGATGAGTAAGGATGCCGATGACTTTTGGAAAACCATGAGCCTGGAGGATGTTAAGGAATTCAAACGTTTCCTGCCATTGATCAAAGACAGTTATAAGATAAAAATTTCAGCATGAACAAGCGCACCATTTCAAAGCCGTAAGAGCCATCAATCATGAGGAGAACAAGGTCTGCGACCTTACCAATGTCGATCATAGAATTGAGGTCATTATTACACTCGATAAATGTGAGTCTCCTCTTCTTTCCAGCAACCACAGTGATCGGACCCTTGGCTTCGGACAATGTCTGTTTTGCGTATCTTCTAATGAGGCTTTTGAGCAGAGTGGTCTTGCCTACGCCTGGAGACCCGACGATTGCGATGATGACTGGTGGGGGTTCATCATCAGGTGTTCTATTTACAAGAGGGACATGAAGACGAGCTTCATCACGCTCGACATTTCTCCGGGCCTGGCGATCGGCACGTCGCCCAGATTTTGGTGCAAATGCCTGAGTGTGTTAACGAGGAAATGCTAGAAAGCGGTTGATAGATAGTACCTTTTCATTGAAACCTGTTTTTTGTTTGCCTTTGCCTTTCTTTGCAGCTTTTGAGCCAGACTGGGCTGGACGATGAGGTTTATGGGTTTGTGTTTCCATCGAGTACTACTAAAAATTGTGGCAAGACCATGACAACTTAGGCCCAAGATTATGCTTGCTCACGTGACTGGCGCGTCGTGTTGTTTTTTTGTGTGGATTCGGTGTGGACCGTGTCTTGTCGCAGAGTTCGACCGTGACTTTTTCAATCCCATCCTTCATATAGCTTTTGATTTTTGGTCTCATTCTTGTTTCTTATTTCTATACATCCTGCGCTACTAAATTGATGGCGCGCCGTCCGTCAACTACCTTCGAATTTTCCATTCCTGGTGACGAGCTTGAACAATCTCGCATTCAGCTCGAACAGCACATACAAAACACTGATTTATCACTGCATCTCTCATCTGCACAAGGAGACGATGACAGTGTCGAATACCCGAGACACAATTCTAACCATTCCCTAGGCTTTGCATCATTCGAACAACCCAGTCAGCACTTTGATTACGATGCTCCCAGTGGCTTGCATGCGTGGTCCACGCATGAAGATGAGGGCGTCAATCCTTATGCTGGTGAGACTGTCTCCACGATCGGCCACCATGCTAGCGCTGTCACAATCGGCGCGGGGCTCGGTGGGCGTGGTCAACGGAGGGAAATCAGTCTCAGTGGTGCTGAGTACGACCCAGATCGCCCGCTACAAGATATGATTGCTGGTATGGACAGCCGCATTAGCCTCTTAGAGCCTCACTCCAAGTCCAGACAGACGGTATGATCCATCGAACGTGTTTATCCTACAGCTACTAATATGCCCTCTAGCCGTGCTCTCGTGAGGCCTTCGATGCCTCAGGTGAGTACGATCTATCTCAGGTCTCAAACCCTGTGGCACTTGCTGCAAGACTCCGTTCCCCACCTCTTGAACCTGAGTCGGCTGAGTCAGAAGCAGACCGCTCGCTCAACACCTCGCGCCGCAAGCTCTCCGCCAATTTGCAGCGTGTCGGTTTCTCTCCGCGACGTCCGCGCAATTTACAAAGAAGTACTGCAGCGCAACAGTCCCCTTCTCGCGCACATTCGTATTCACATGACGCGCCGGATTTTCAACATATTCCATCCTATTCTCGAAAAGCAACAACTCCTAAAGCACGCAAGGCCTTTCATTCTGTATCTTTCGATATAGATACGACACCCGTGCGGCGGCATGTATCCCAGCCGCAGGTAAATGTTCAGCCCCCCACACCATCCGCAGCTAGCTCCAAATTTACTCGTATGGCAAGGGGCCTCGCCAAGGATGTGCATGAAGCTCAGGCCGAGGACGCTGCGTTACTCCAGAACCAATCACAGACTACTACTACCCCTCGTGCAGCGCCCGCAAGTTCTCGTCGTGCCTCTATGAAGCATCATGATGCATTGAAACAACCCCTACACGACGTCCTCGATCACAGTGCCGTTGATATTAATGTAGAGGTCGCCCAAACAAATCGGTCATTGAGGAAAGCCAGCAGAGGACGGGTAAATCTCCCAGACCTGACTGGCCTTACGAGTGCAGTTGTTTCTCCTGCGAAGGCTAACCTTGAACGCTATGGTATCAAGACCGCCGGTTCATCAAAAGAGGTTGAATGTCAGTAATTCTTTTCGATTTATTTCAAGGATCTCAGTCTCTGTGCAGCCCGTCTCATAGCGTCACTTAACGCCCTTCATGCAAAGCTCGCTCATCTCGAAACGGAAAATGGCATCGCTCGCCGCCGTGTCCGGGAACTCGAGTATGAGCTCCAACAGTGCAAACGTGATGTCGCTCGGGAGCGTTCCAGAATCATAGAACAAGACGCAGGCGAGCCATCATGGAAAAGGGGCAAAGGGGAGCGACGAGAGAAAGAGGAAGAACAGTCAAAGTATTTTGAGGTCGTAGAGGAAAAAAAAGGTTGGTTATAGCGTCTTTCTGACGAATCTCATTTGACCCACTCATACAGCGCTCGAATCCTTGATATCTACCCTCCGCTCACACCTCACTCGTGTCACCACAGACTTGACAGCACAGCAGCAGCTCTTGGAGGACCTTAAGAGACTCAGGGAGGACGACGCCAAAATGCTAGCTCAGAAAACAGATGAAATAGGCGCCCTTCGGCTCGAGGTTGAAAGGCTTGCGGGCGAGATTGAGGTACTCAGGAATGTTGTAGAAGAGGGCCTCAATGAAAGAAGAATGGCAAGGGAGCAGCAGTCACAACTCGTGGAAGAGCAAGACGAGGTGTCTGTGCCGGACCAGTCACATCAGGAGCCAGACCCAGTGGCCACTCGTCCTGATTTTCAGTCAACAAGAAGGTTTGTTGACGTGGACGAACTCACGCGGATATCGGAAGATCTGGAGGAACGAAGATCTGAGCGATCTTCCTGTGGAAGTCCATCCCTGTCGTCACGACATAGCTCGCGGTCGCACCCAGGTGACATGACTCGGCTCACTGACTCCGAAGATAGCAGACATCACACTCGTCGAAGGGAACCTTCGAGAGATGATAATATTGCCCTATCAACTCGGATATCAGAAGACCTTGAGGAGCAACGGTCTGAAGGATCTCCTTGTAAAAGTACTTCCCTGTCGTTCCGCCATGGCTCGCGTCCAGGTGACATGACACACGCTCGGGTCACTGAATCCGAAGAGGGGAGTCGGCCTGCAACTAGAAGGGAGACCTTAAAGGATGATGAAGCTGCTCCCTTCCCTCGTATCCGTTCAGGTCGCCTCGAAAACTTATTCTTCTCTGCACCGAAACACAATTCTGGGACATGCACCCGGTGTAATCACCAGTCTGCGCGCACCGGTAGTTATGCGAACACGAAGGCCATACGCCCAGATCAGGGACGGACCCTACCCTTAAATGATCAAGGCCCTCATACACAAGTCAAGAACGATCCTCTCGAACCTAGAGCAAATGTTTTTGAACCCGATGGTGTCGATTCGTACGAAGCCATCTTCCAGGGCGACAAATTACCGCCACAGACTGTGCTCGCCAGGGTATTACGAGAACTCGAGGAAGAATTTACACATCACAAAGGGTTTGGAATTTATCATGACATTTATTGTCCACGCACTCAAATATTCTGTATAGGATTTATAGTGAGCTGGCAGACGAATACAAGGGTATGGACTCGACAGTGCAAGCAGCGAGGCGGCATATTGTGGCTGATCATCTTCGAGACATCATTGATTTGATTGAGCGCAAGGTTGTAAATCAAGCTCGATTTAATATCAGCTTTACTAATTGCTCAACAGGTTGATCAAATTCAATCTCTGTATGATCTTTTGAAGTTTGAAGATAAACCAACCTCTCGGCAACGAATATCTTGACAACCACGTCGATAGATTCTGGGTTGAATTTGGATGTCGTCTGTTTTATTCTACACTACAATTGTAGCTTTCCAATCAAATGGGATTAATATCGATAAATTGTGATTCGTGGTATTCGGGCAGCCTTGTCTGCACCAAAAACGTGTTTGTATGAGTTAGACTGAAACAGTGTTTAATAACCATCTGCATCGACCCGTCTTACGGTGCACTGTATGATATTGTAGCAGCTATCGTTGAGATTTTCCGACAGCAATAGCGCTCACGGTCAATTGGAAAGGACTACACACGTGCCATCGCAACGAAACAGAAACCTGTGCAATACTGTCGGAGGCATTATGACGAGAATACTAGTTGGTGTAATCCACGTTATTGCCTTTCAAACAGCTTAAACAATGGTTGTTCATCCAAGGGATTGGTGCAGTGCAGCATGAAAGTATTTCTATGATTGATACAGTGGATGAATAACGAAATCTTACAGTAATGAAACAAGACGTGGATGTAAAGGTGTTTGACATGCCACGATCACCGTCCGTATCTGTTATTCATACATGAATAAAACTGAGCCAGAAAGAGAGAAGAAACGTACTTCTGGAGCTCCCACTCACGGTTATCAAGCGGACATACATTGCGCGTCTTGAGCCAGCGTGAGATACAGTGAAAATGGAATGCGTGCTTTGAAAGGAGTGGCGGTGGTGAGATCTAAAGGAATTATTGAGTATCGATAAACTCACGTTGCAAATCCCCCATGCAGCATTACATTCATCTGTAGATGCTGAAACTTGATTTGCTTGACAGTCGATGCCTACATGACAGCGTACTTTGAGTGACGTTGGGATCAAATGCAAAAGTAAACGCACAAAGATCCATGATATGATTTCTGCATATAGCGCAGTTGTCGACGACGATATCTGTGGAAAATTGTGAATGATTCAATCAATTTTAAAGATAGGCAGCGTACCCCATGCCCAAAGAGAGACAGCGTTCCACTGAGCGACTTATCAATTAAGGGAGCGAGAATATGAGACAGACAAGACCACACCTTCTTCACTTCGAAACGTTGCTTCCCATCATCCTTTGCTTCCTTTTTGGAGGGTGCAGGAGTGTCAACGTCCATGTCTGCCATCTTGATCTCAAATAACCTTGCGGATGTTCAAAAGCGAGCGTTTCCTGTTATCGGTCAGGCGTGGTGTGACGCTTCATCGCCAAACATAGTATCAGACTCACACGCCCTAGATCGATGATATCATCTAGTACTTATCTAATCAGTAGCCTGCATCTTGACACCAAAGCTGCGACTCATCCAAGTTCATCCGAGTCCATCTACAACCACATCATCAACCAACCATGTTTTCAGTCACAGTAAATTTATGTGGTAGCATATCTGGTCTCTTTCCCTAACTTCAGCTTCTCAGGTTTCAAACATTTCCCCAAACACCACTCAGGAAAAGCTTCATGAATTTTTCAGGTAATATAATATTTCACTCCACTGTTGCCAGTCCCTAATTTCACTTTTCTCTCAGTTTCTGCGGCGAGTGAGTTTCGTATGCCTTTATTATCTTATTTTCGTGATTGACATTGATTCAGCATCAAATCAATCGATCTCAAATCCGAGGAGGATTCGAAACAATCTGCAGTCGTTACCTTTGTGAAACCTTCGTCCGCTGGTACAGCTCTCATGGTAGGACAAAAAACTAGAAATTCAAATCAGATTAACCAACATTCTATCTCTAGCTCAATGGCGGTACTCTAGATGGTGAACAACTTCACATCACCTCCGACGTTGAACACCACAATCATCAGGAGCAATCGCCACACTCAAGTTCACCTTTCGAACAGTCAGACAAACCTAGAGCTGGAAGTACGTATGCTCCCTTTGCTACGAACTAGCATCTTGACATCCGAGTATAGTTGCTGCTGAATATTTGGCAAAGGGCTACACACTTTCCGACCACATCTTGCAGCGAGCCATCGAAATCGACAGTTAGTTGTTTGATGTACCATGTCGAATGTCAGCTCACGCGTCTTCCTTGTTAGACAAGCAGGGTATTTCCAAACGGTTTTTAGATTATATGCGCGGCCTCGATGCAACGGTTGGACAGAAAGCTCTTGGTTCAGACCAAACAGTATCCGGCAAAGTGCAATCGACGTTAAAGCATGCCCATACCAGGGCAAAGACTATCGACGAACAGAAAGGTTATTCTAAGGTTGCCCACGAGGTTGGTAGAATGATCTTTGTTTGAATGAGTTTAACCCGCATGATTACAGTACTACTCAAAGGCGATCTCATCTCCCTTTGGAAAATCTGTCCTCGACTTTTACACTAATACTTCAAAGCAAGTTCGTGACATTCACGAGGAGGCTCGTCGTATGGCCGACCAACATGTAGCTGTGAGTTCATCTGCGGACAATACCACACATGCCACCGGTACCGGTACCGCCGGACCTGATGCACAACCTGGTCTCGCTAAGCAAGCCTCTCCCACCGTTTGAAGGCTATCATGATAGGCAAGAAGCAAGTTGGTGTCAATGTCCTGTCCGATCGTAGGACAGCACATTAAATCGCACTACGTATTTTCAATGACTAAAACTTTGTAATAATTTCTTTGTACCATACGATCTGGCTGCCTTTTCCTACAAGTAGGTAGTACATATGATATAAGCATCGGAAATCGCAACACTTGTAGTGGCGACATAGTAAGGTAGGGTATGTGCTATGCCTAGCTTTTTTGACTGTGATGTCCTATGAGGAAATGTATCTTTTTGGTCGTCAAGGTGCCAATACGGTAGCAGGTTGCAGTGGCCAGGTGGTGTGGTTTGCGCTCGTACATTCATAATGATAACAAAACGACATTACCACATTTTAGGTCATGTGTCGCAACTGCAGAAGTCATCGTACATATAGTGACGCACGAAGGTGCATCACACTGGTAGCGGTGGAAACCCATAATGGGTCTGCATATTCATGACGGGGAAGTGTACTTCTGACCCGAGCGAGACTAAAAATTCCTGCATACCTACAGTAGAGTCTGGATATAACGGGACCGGTGAGAGAGCTTCAGCCTACAATATAATCATCAGCTGTCAGCCTTGTCTTCCTGCAGAGCCGGCGAGTAATAAATATATATATTACGAGACGGTTGCCGCAACTAGGCAGAGAGAAATTGAAATCTCAAATGGACATGCATGGTTAATGGGCTTTCGGTCCCACATCGTCCACCGGGAATTCGTGAGTCAATTTTAATCATGAGAAGTTTCGTTGGATCCGCGACTGAGATGCCTTCGATAGTGCAGATTTCGTACTGCGACCGCATGGTATGATCATTGGATTAATGAATCAGAAGTAGAGTCATGCAATGGTGTTAAAGGCAAACTCAGCCAGTGTTCTTACGTACCGTGGAACTTTTAGTGACGCCCGAAACTCAAGCACAAGTTCAAGTTGCACAACTCGGTCACCGGTACACAAATGATCATCAGGATCCGCCACAATTCTATCATCTTTCAGTGGTTCTACCCGACAAAGATACCATGTCGCCGCACCTCATACCCATTCTATCCCGAATTCTTGTCGATCCCTACATGGTGATTACCAACCATGACTTGAAGCTTTACGCGAAACCCGATACATGAATGATTCAGGATTTATCTGCCAGACCGAGCCCGAGCTGCATATCTATCCCAAACAATCCAGGGTGTGTTCGTCACCCGCATGGACCACAAACCATGCCTCAGGTCCCCGACTCCGCGGTGCCGTACTGTAAAAACGTATGGTTCGTATGATTGCCCATTCAACCATAATTCACTTCGTGATTAATATGACCATGGGAGATACCCAACATGGAACACATCAATCGGAAGCAACCAAGAGGCAAATTTTGAACACTCATAGCCGATTTATGGTGTAGTTGGCCGTTGAATCCGCTTTTCTCGATCGGTGTTTCGGGGCTATATGACATGTGCCCAGCAGACTTCCCTTAACTAGGGTGCTCACTGGCTGCCCAGGTTGACCGCTCGGCCGTCAGTCTGATCTCGGCCGAGTTCAATTGCAGACTGGTACCATGCAAACGCTTTCATTAAGCTAGGCTGCGCAACCGTAACCGTCAAGTAACCGTTATCGCGTATCTAGAAACTTCGGCCGATCAGCGCAATGCCGAAACTCCCCGATATATGGTACATACATAACACGAACGCCAGGTCTGTTCACTAGAGAATTATTGTAGTTCTGTGGCTGCACAAAGTTATGGCTTCTCGAAACCGTTCGTCAACATCGGACTACTCTGCATCGAATTACAATCAGACAGCAGCATTTGTGTATTCTGCTGAGTACACTGCATCCATTTTATCCTTTCTGAAACCTTCCGTTGGCGAACGAATTGCTGATTTTGGATGTGGGCCCGGGGAACTGACCTTGCGGATACAAGAAGCTGTTGGTATGAGTGGATTCACTATTGGTATTGACTATAACAATGACATGGTAAGATCACATGGGTTTGTATGAAGCGAGTTGCTACCTAACCGATATCTTTGTCAGATTTCACGAGCTTTGGCGAACGGGGTTAGGCACGCGTACATGTCTGACCTTCAAAACATTCAAATACCTGCGGATATGTTGGAGAACTCTTTCGATGCTGTCTTCAGCAATGCCGTACTACATTGGTGTAAACAGAATCCGCGCGGAGTCTTGGATGGAGCTAAGCGGCTGCTTAAGGTCGGTGGGCGTTTTGTATGTGAGATGGGTGGGTTCATGAATTGTATCGGTAAATCTGCGCTATTGAATGGGTACATCTTTAATGACGACAAATGCAGGCGTTCGAATTGGTCTTCACCGGGCTGTCAAAAGGCGCGGTTATGAACCCGATAAAATGGATCCCTGGTACTTTCCGACAATCGAAGAATATCAAGGGGTCTGTCATGTATTGGATGGCTGTCAGCTGCTTATATTTTTGTTCTGGTTGTGTAGTTATTGGAAAGCGCGGGTTTCAGCGTCAATACCATTAGTTTGGTTCCAAGGTTGACACCACTGCTGGACGGCGGACTCCGCGGGTGGCTGCAGCTGTTCGCGCGCCGAACGTTCCTAAAGGGATTCAGCGATCAGGAGGCCGCCGCCATCATAGACGAGGTTGTGGATATGTGTGAAGTTGACATGAAGGACAAAGAGGGGAATTGGGCTCTGATGTACGTTCGATTGAGATTCTTGGCAACCCTTGATAGCCCTTGATGGAACTAGTATGACTGAGGAATGATGCGCCAAGTTTACCGTATTTAATTATGACAAATATGATCCCTCAGTTCCATAACTCTGTGCAAAGGAGTATCCCAGATTATCCCCTATAGGCAAGAGAAATGATTGCCAAATAAGGGTCCACTTGGACCAACAAGGAAGAGAACGGTCACGTGGTCAAAACTCACGCCGCGTGCCAGAAGTTTCAACGACGGACGTTCAACGGTCTCGCGTTTAGTGCCATGGCCGAAGCTCGTCCAGCATGGATGACGGACGATTTAGACGAAGAGTGGATAGATGAGGACGAAGCCTCGTCCATGGGCACTCAGTCCATCTCTCTCACAACTCCGTTACCTGGCTACCTCCGAACTCCAAGTCAAGCTCAGGAAGACACTGAGCCACTTCCCATAGCACCTGAACCGGTCGGTACGTTTTTGATCCGCGAGGATATACCCGCTTCAGCTCTCTTACCAAAAACACCGAGTCGACAACCTAAGAGAGGCATCATCAAAGACTTCTTCAGTCCTTTAGCACTCGAGAAAATGTTCGAGCCACCTTCACCACCTCCTTCGAAGCCAACTGCACTTGCACTTCAGTGTGCCCCGACAATTCCCTCTCGCCTATGTCAAGCATACACGCCAAATGACTCACAGACTGACCTCGAGCTACCAGGCAAGCCCACGGCGGTGCCCTCCCTTAATTCATTCGCGCCGCCCGGATCTAGTATGGAGTGCAAATTTACTTTTGCTGTTCCTCGCACCAATAGTAGTGTTCCTCAGGCAGAAAGCACGCCAGGTGTTTACAGCATCGCACGACCTCCCATGACAGACCCACGCCTACGCCTTTTTCAGCTTCAGTACGACACATTCACGCGTGATCACTTGTCGGCAATGGTCGATTCAATAGCAATAAATACCCCCTCTGGTGGAAGCGCAGAAGGCAATGGTTCTACCAGGAGCATCCCACGCCCAGGATTGGTCAACGTGCAAGAGGCGACCGTATCAGATGACACACCTATTCGCAGCATCAAACGGGTCAAACTTAGCCCCCCAAGCCACTATTATGGTGAAGGTGATGGCGCAGGTGCTACAATCGCGAGGCCAATGGTCTCAAGGGTAGACTATGTTGGCGAGTCGCGTTCCCTCATGCAACAGATCAAGGCCGCACGCGATTTCTCTACGATATCCACTGCGGCAGATACACAATACCCCGAAAGCAAAGCGCATGATAGAGCTGAGGCTCTTCAGGCGCAGCCCAACCCCTCAGGTATGTAAACCATTAGCGTATGTACATGTTAATCGAAAACACTTGCACAGGGACTGGTAACTCTGTCCTTCGTGTCCCTGATGATCGCAGTTCGGTTACTACAAGTTCATCTACAGCTGTGACTGTCCCCAGTAATCATTCGTCTCTGGCATACCGCCATCAAGCAGCGACCCTGATGCAGCAGATCAAAAACGATATCCGAGGTTCTAAACGTCTTTTCTCGGGTGCCACCGACATATCCCATCTCACCCACGCTGACGATGTTTCACGTATCGAACGCTCGTGCGACAGTGTATTCTCTGTGTCTCAAGTCAATGTTGGCAAGAAGAAAGCCAATAAGTTCGGGTCACCCCGCAGGCCGTCATCTTCCTCCAAGAGCTACCGCAGTCCCCGGAAAGTGTCACGCAATACCATCATTGAGGATAATGACCGAACGTTGGAGCACGAAATGTCCAATATGTCCATTGAAGCACCCTGGCAGCAGCCAGTTACATGCGTGTCTGTCACACCCAACACGGGCTTCAATAGCATCCCACACATTCGGGTGACTCCTTCGACAAGTCAGCAATCTATGCCACATCCTCCTGAACAGATCCCTTCTTCGTATCCCTCGTCCTCGACCCGCTCTGGCCCCAACGAGGACCTTAACAGGATGGTGTCCTCTAGCACAGCTTCCGGAACCATAACCACGACAAGCAGTGCACCCTCGTTCGTAAAACACGCCGGTCCAGTTCAGATCACCCGCATCGCGCCATCGGATGTACCAGCTCTCCCACAAAGAGTCGGCCGTATGGTCTACGACAAGGATCTCATGAAGTGGGTGAGGGTCGCTACTCGTGCGGCCTCAGATGCTGAGGACCAACGCAATCAGACAACTTACACCGGCACAGATGGAGATAGTGAGGATCCGTTCAAAGACATAGAGAGCCTGAAGGAAGACGACTCCAGGGATACGCATGGGAGTGCGCACATAAATGTTGAAGGTGAGATCCCTGAAGCTGGAGGAGAGCAAGGTCAAATGGAGAACGGTCGCATCGAGGAGGACGTGGAGCTTAATGATCAGGAAGAACTTGACCTAACATCCTTTTCTTTCGACGGACTATCGGTCGCGGTTGTCCGCGTTGTGCCATCGAATGATTCGGAAGGAGGGGAAGAAGTACAGACAAGCGATTCCGAATCAGACGAACGCCGTGGAGTTGCGCTGGGGGTTGAAGGCAGGGACGCTGCCGCAGTCTTTGAATCGGAGGATGAATGCTCGCCTGAACTGCAAGCTCCTTCGCCCATCCAGCCTGCTTCGAACTCTACTGCGGTAGCTACGCCAGTTGCGCTACAATATCGGTCATTATCGCTTACTACTCCGATGCCCCGCTCGGCCCTGAAAAGCACGAGCGTCACTCCTGTGTCAGCTATGAAGGATCCGAGCCGTGATCGCCATCGTACTCCAGCGCAGCGACTTGGTCACTGTCGCTCCGTAAGTTTTTCTGATGGGAAGAGGGATGGGCCTATACGGGGCCTGAACACAAAAGGCCACGAGAGCGATGACGATGCGGGTAGCCTAGCTACGAGCATTTCAGAGGATGACCCTGCACAGGGGCTATTCATACCCTCGGCAAGGTCCAGACGCTTGGCGGAGATGATGCAGAACCTAGAAAGCCCTGGTGAGTTAACATAGTGCCGCAAGTGTGTTTCAGTGTTGATGTATGACAGACGTCTCCCCCACGAAATCGTCAAGTTCGGGCCGTCCATCGACAGAAGAACTTCAACCCTTTGCTTCCAGGCAGCCGAGTAGTCAAATGGCTATCGCCGATTGCAGTGGATCGACCCGTCGTGCTTTCTCAACGTCACAAAAGAGTCGTTTAAGTGGGAAGGATCAGAAGACAAACGCTACTTTCTTGACTGAGTGCTCCTTTGGCTTGGCGCATGACCGACTCGTGCAGGTGATCACTGACGTCCAGCCATTTGAGCCACACTGGGACGAGCTGCACAGTATTGACCTTTCTCGCAAGTCGTTGGATGGTGTGACTCGGCTAAAGGAGTTTCTACCGAAGCTAGATTCTCTAGTATTGTGAGTTGCTGCCTGCAGAAGCAAATGACGACGGCTGTTAATGTTCGATTAGAAATCATAATCAGCTGTCATGGCTGAGCGGCATTCCCAACTCTGTGCGGACGCTTTCTATCGCTCACAACCTGTAGGCTTTTTGTTAAATTTCAAGTTGCTTCCACTAACATCGCGCCCTTTGAAGATTGACAGGTGTCACCTCATTTGGTCACTTGCAGAATATTGAAAGCCTTGACATAAGTCACAATGACATCGACTCTTTGACACGTGGGTACTGAGGACGGTGTCAACAAGAGTGAGCTGACAAGCAAATATGTTCCTCCAGAACTGCAGTGTCTTCGACACTTGAGGGAGCTACGAGCTGATGGCAATCGCATTACCAGCATAGACGGCCTTCAGAAATTGGATGGGCTGACCAAGCTTAGTATACAAGGCAACCAAATTCAAGAAGCCGATTTTGCCAAATGTCGATGGTACGATCAATCTTTCGAAGCCTCCTATCTTTACTCCCTAGTGACGAACAATGCGTACAACAGGCCGCGTTTAGAGATGCTAAATCTGAGCGGCAACTGTATTTGCAGTATCTTGAACTTGGCATCAAGCCTACCTGCACTAATTGCGCTCAATGTCGGTGCGTAATTTAACTACATATTGCGTGAGGCCCTGGATAACAAGCGCAGGTTCCTGAAGACAATAATACAGTGGACAGTATTGAGCCTGGTGGCATAATGCCAAGGCTACGCATCCTTCGAGCTAGCGGCAATCGACTGAGGCGCCTGAACACTGCCCCATTCCCAAACCTCCGCACGCTGTACTTGGACAACAATTTTCTCGACACTCTCGTAAAGGCGGAACGCCTTAGTAAGCTAGAGAATCTTAGCATGCGAAATCAGGCTTCTTGCGGATTGTGAGTGCACAGCACCTCGGTGTTGAGTTAACGTCATTAACGGAACGCTTCATTATACTGTTCCTTGTTCCCTTGATGATGGGTATGGCGATGTGATCTGCAGCTATCTTTCGACCCGCCAGTTCCGAGATGTAAAGCGACTATACCTTTCTGGTCTGTATAGCAAAACTTGGGCTTGAGGCAGGGCTCATCGGTTTTCTAGGCAACAAACTCAAGAGTGACTTTATCGACGAACCCTGTTACAATCTGCTGTACCTTGAGGTAGCCGCTTGCCGGCTGACTTGTCTCCCACAGGACTTGGCGCGTCTAACGCCGAACCTGAGGGTTCTGAACCTCAACTACAACTTTTTGAATGATGCGCTCTCCCTGGAGGGGCTTACCAGACTTAGGAAGCTCACTATGATTGGTTCGCGTTTGAAGGGGACTAGACAGCTGATCCGCATATTACAGCGTATGCCTGATGTGGAAATGCTCGATTTCAGGTAAGAAGTTTGACCCTGCATGTGTGTCTTAAACGGTGATGATGATGTATTACGCAGGATGAACCCCTGTACGCTTGGGTGGTATTTGCCAGTTGTGGTGAAAGACCTACCAGGGGCACTACAACCATGTGAGGACAGGGGTGAGAAGGGAAGTACGGAATACGGATGGCAAGAACTGGACTCGAAGTTCCGTCGGGACCTCCCGGATGATGCATATGTCGGCCGCCTTGCGTATCGGGGGTTGATCATGCGAGCATGTCCCAGGATAGGGATGTTAGATGGGGTCGAGGTTTCGGAGAAGGAACGGACGAAGGCTGATCAACTGTTGCAGGGTATGATGGGGAAGAGTAAAATTAAGGGGAACAAGGGGAAGTCAGGGACGACAGTAGTAAGCGGCGCTGGTTGCACCAAGTGATTATTTCCAGTGCATTCATTGTGGGATCACAATATATCATAATCTTGGTACATAGGTATCCTGGAAGAAAGTTACGTGAGTGGAACGGGATGTTAGAAGCTGATGCTGAGACTTGGAATTGTCGATCTCGAAGAAGGGTGTTTGGTAGTCGATGCGGAAGGCCGTCATCGGAACTATGGAACCAATTGTGGAAGGCAACCGACCGTTGGCGGTGCAAAGAAACGTAAGTGAACCCTATTGGAACGGCCCTATGAAGTCCGCGCATGAAATAGTGCCTGTATGAACCGTCGAGGCGAGAGATCCAATAATATGACTATATGTGGGGGGTTTAGTATCTAAGATACCAAGACCTTCACAGCATTTTATGATAATTATAAATTATATTACGATATGATGTCGAGAACAGAGTTAAAGACAGATTTTGACAGCTTGTGAGCACGCAAATTCTCAAGAAAACGGGACCGAGGAGTATATTCTAATTGGGTAGTAAATTGAATTTATTGGGTTTATTAATTTGCACAGCCTAATTTCCACGCATTAAAAATCAAATAAGTTTGCGCAATATAGACGCTCGGGCAAAGGGCCGCTGATGCTGATTTGCCGAAGTAGATGCTATTCGCTACCGACAAGCGTACTGCAGACGATGACGCGCGCTGATGTCGGGATCAAAAAAAAACTGAGAAATGGCCGGCTGTGGAGGAAAGGGTTCTTGGGGGTGCCTCGAAGGTTGTTGTATGTATCTAATTTCATTTTTTTTCTTTCTTTTTCCCGACTCGGATTTCTCTTCCCTCTTTATATATTTAAAATCCCGTCCATCAATCTACATTCCTCCCATTACACCCTCGCGCTACAAATGATTGACCAACAGTCAAGTTCTCCCCTCGCTATCAGCTCTTACAACGTTGCTCAGTTACAACTATCCTTACAGTGAGTATCATCATTTCATTCAAAAATTTCTATTCCAATCGGATTTCATAATCCGACTGTCATATGTCAAGATCATGTCTGTCAAAATATTGTTTTACAACCTTTCTTTCCTCTCTCATCATCATCACATCTGACCCCCACCTACAGACTTGGTTCAAAACTCGACCCTGTTCCCTTCTCGGACGATTTATCAAACTGTGCCTCTCCGGCTATCCTGTGGGTCATCCGTGCCTTGTCTTGCCGCGTCCCGATCCCCATATCTGACTTGTCTCGTTTATTATATTTACTTTAGTCCCACAGACTCCGACTTTGATTATCCTACTCGTCGAATGTCAAGCTCTACCGTCTCGGCAGAGACAGAGAGCAGTGCAGCCTCTCGCCCTGAAAAGCGTCCCTTGTCTCCCTCAACTTCCCCACAACCTCTTAGACCTCGTCCTACTTTCTCCTCAGACCACCCTTCTTGGCATTTCGACTCTACTCATCACAGCCCTCAACAAGACGACAAGCCATTAGAGTCTGCTCTCGACAATTCAAAGGTACAATTACCTTCCATATTTACTACCTTTGAGGATCCCTTTCGTCGAGCTTCCTTACCAGCTCTTACACAAGACTCAAATCATCGCTACCGATCCGCTCCATACCCCCCTACTCATCTCCGTCGCGCATCGCACGCGTCCTCAAACCAGTCCAATCTCGGCTCATACCACTTCCCACCTCCTACCGATACCTCTGAGTTTCAAGATAAATCTTCCAGCCGTCCTCGCTTGACTGCTGACACACATCTCAATTACTCCTACGGAGACTCCTCCTCATACCTAAATACAGCTCTTTCCAGTACAACTACCCCAAGTTCCCATTTTACCTCTTCCACTTTCACATCGCCCCTCACCCCTGACATCAAACCTCAGGGCGTCCCTGCTTCAGGATACATAGAATCCGAAAGTTGGAACGACTCTCCTTCTGGTATTGTTCGCCCCAGCTCAACCGGCCAGTTACCGAGTACACTTAACAAGTACGACGACAGCGTCAGACAGTCCTCCTTCAGCACAACCCTCCCTCCCTCACAGATGTTTTCCGCTCCTCCACGTCTTCCTCCCCAACAGGATCGTAGACTCTACCCCTCCTCAGCTCAACCTAAGGATGACTGGAATTTTTCTAATCAGGATTTTGCCTTTTCCTCGAGCAGTCCGTCATTAAATACGACGAGCAGCCCAGTACCCTCCGCAGCACCAGCCCAGGCCACAACTTCCTCTCCTCCATCCCGCTCCCCACCGTCCGCTCCATCTACATTAGCTGAACGCCCCATGCGGAAGAGGGGCAAGTTGCCAAAGGAAACGACAGATTATCTAAAGGCCTGGTTGCATCGTCACTCAGATCATCCATACCCAAGCGAGGAGGAGAAAAAGCAGCTTTGCCATGCCACTGGATTGAGCATGAGCCAAGTATCCAACTGGATGATTAATGTGCGCACTCTTTACTTTACTTCCCCGTCATTTATTTAATTAACATAACCTTCAGGCTCGTCGCAGGATTTTAGCTCCTGCCCACCGAGCAGCGCAGGGACCTACCACCTCTGCGCCATATCCATCTTCCACTCGCACTGTTCCCGCTTCTTCTCTCTTAGATCCGGTCGCGCGTCGTGCTTCACTGCCTGCAGAAAGTCTGCAGTTGTATCACCCTATGTCTCTCCAGTCGCTGCAAGGGGGTCACCAGAACTCAGCGTCTGCAGAGTTCGGCGGAAGCGGCCGACAACTTCTCGCACGCCCAGCACACTACACTGGTGGTGGCGGCGGCGGCGGCAGTCTAGACTACTCCCAGAATAGACTTGGGCTGTCCACATACAATCTTGGACACAACCATCATTCAGGGAGTGGAGGGCAGTCCGGTTATCTTCCATCGGGCGTTCCGATGTCCGCGCCTCCCTCCCTTCCACCCAACCCTTTCGGGTCTCACAATATGCACAATCAATCCTCGTTGTATTCTGCACAGCACCACCACTCGTCGTTGTCTCCTGGCTTCATTTCAAGCCCATCCCAGAGCTCGCCGAGGTTGCCCGCCCACTCGGCGGATTCGCAGTCGCATTCCTACTATAGCGAAGGACCATTGCACCCTTCTGTAAATGCTGGGCCTACCTATTCAGCTCCACAGTGACCACGACGCTGTAACAACATCGAATCCTATCTGGGATCCCTTTGTTTTATCGAAAAACAACGTTCGTGTAACAATATTATTATACTGACTACCTAAAGCAACCTAATCATATGTACTACTCGTATCACCTTCTTGAGATCACACACTCCAACCCCTTTGCCAAGTGTTTTTCGTTGGCCACTTAAAAATTGCACATCCCAATACAACAAATAAAATTTTGTTCACCGGGTTCGGGTGCATTCTGTTGCGACATATTTCTCCCACTGCACATGATCCTGCGGAACCTCTACACCTCGTGTCTGCCGCTTGCAGCCGATCTGATTCCTGATTCCTGTGTTCTGGGGTTCTATCTCTCAGCGGGCTCTTCTTATCCTGGACCGGATCTCCCTTTTCATAATGAAAATCTGGGTATTGCGAAGTCCTGTAGTAATCAAACCGTTACTTGCATTATTTGATTTTAATACCTCGGAATGTGATACTTCCCCATTCCGGGTAGTTTCCGGGCCGTTTGATGGGCAGTGTACGGAACGGGATCATCATGATTCAGCGCTTAGGACTAGCGATTTGCTAACTCAGGAGACAAAACTTCATTTTACCTGCTCAGGAATATACGTTCCGATAGTTCGCAGAAGGTGCCGTGGATCAATCCGCAAGCTCGACCGCTGGAGTCGTCTCATCGCCGATCATCATGACCTAACCGAAGCTAACCGCAAAAGGACCGCTCCTCATATGTACGACACGGTCGCGGTACACTGGTGAGAATGGGGCGACAGTGCGGAGGGCCCAAATCACCATTTGCGCACCTCCTTCAATCCATTGACTCCTTCGTTACGACCCCAAGCGCCTTAACTTTATCACATTTTGGGAGGGGCAGGCGGTATACGCGCACGTGAGGGTGCAATAGCTCCTGAAAACGGCCACCGCCTCGTTGGGATGGCTACGCATTGCCCCCGTTATCCCATTCAAGGCGCTCCAGGAACTCCACTCAGTGCTCGATTCAGAAGGACAATGATGTAAGTGCAGGAACGGTTGGTGGCGTCACTTTAGCCTTCATGTCTGACTTTGATTCATTTGTGCGGAGAAATGCACCGCATCGTACGTACAACCCTTATTGGTATCGCACAGCTATCGAGAATGGAAAGGGGGATGATCACGCCAAAAAACAATGAGGAATAACAGTATTGCAAAAACACACCCAAAGATTGCCCTAAAAAAACATACAGATAAGTAGCAAGGCACCTCTCCCATCCCTCGCTTAGAAGTCGGGAACGACAATCAGGCGAAGCGCATACGACATGACTTTCCGTGGGTCTCTCATGCGTGAACTGGCCGCCGCGAATCAGTGCCAAGAGCCCTCGAGAGGGCGCGAACCTTGCAAAATAGGTGGTAGTGGGTACTTCCAGCGACCCTGGCGTGAATTCACGATGCCGTACTTGATACGCGCGCAGTGACATGATCAATGTCATCCTTCGATGCAGGATAAATGGCGTGTGGTTTCCACACATGGCCTCTGATTTTACCACAGGGAAAACGGCGGCACTGCACGAGGGAAATAGCTAAACCATGAGTCATAACGCAGCAGTCAAAACGAAGAAGCGAAGGGAAAATAACAGAATAAGGCGGCGGGGAATATCTTCGATCATTTTTACCCGAGGGAATTTGAAGAGACGGACGGAAACTGCCAGAGCGCGGCATAAATGACGGGAAGTGTCCAGCATGGGCATCCAAATGACAATAATCTGATGCCACAAACATAAAATAAAATGCAAGAGCGGACACTTACTTGAACACCTTCTCAACAGCCATTGGAGGGTCTATAGAAATCCAAGTTCACGAGGACAGGAATGCCTTGATCCTAGGGAGACAAAAATATCAACCCATCTCGCAACTCGACAAACAGCATGATAAGGCGGTGTAATTAGATCAGAGGTCTAGGAAAGATCCATCTGTCTTATGACCGTACCTGACGGGACATGTTCGCGTGCTTAACAACACATAGGAGAACTAGTATGTGGCCGCGTATTCATGGGAAAGCAAAGTGCAGGGCAGTGAGTAGTGGTCCACCTCAAATTAAGAGCCTCGAAAGCAGAAGGCACCTACTCTGCGGCGACAAACCTGAGATGAAGCCAATGCATTCATAGCTCTCACTTCAGGCACTTAAGCATGTCAGAATAAAGTCCTTGTATTTCTTTAACTTGCTTAGGAAGTTCTGCCATCCTTCAATATTCAGGCCTGTCTCGATGGGCCGTCAGGGAAAATAAAATGGAACGAGGGAACGTGCCTAAAGGAGTAAGCGTTTTCCCCCCACATGTCCTTCTGTTGATAGCCTGAATGGGTATGGTGATGAAGCTTTCTAATCTTGATAGAATCCCTGGACTCCCCACTCCTGTCGAGAAAGGCTTTCGCCGTTGATATTTGGTCATCCTTGGTCGCGACTCTCATTGTCTAGGTTCCAGGGGCATGCAATCCGAGTGTCTCGCGAACAACCCAGTCGAAGTACTTTAGTTTCCCACCATTATCATCAAGACCCGGTGAATTGATAAGAGTTATTCAAAGAGCATTACGAAGCGCTCTCTATCTGTCTGGAAATTTGGCCCAGAGTGTACAGACGCCATATCAGTGCAAAGGTCCTTTTTCATAGCCTGCAATCAGAAAAGTCAAAATCTGACAGAAAATTTTGCCTGTGCTCATGTGCTGAGAATCAAAGGTTTCAAGATTGGAGGCCACTGGATTGACGGTAAATTGCTGAAACATACCAAGAAAGGTCAGAAGGTCCCTTTGTCTTGGAACATTCCTTTTTGCAATAGTGCCCCGAAGGCGATTCTCGATAAGCTGTAGTGCGATCCAATCGAGATGCGTATTATCATGCGCCATAATTTTACCATGACGCCGCTGATTAACAATTCCGCCACAGGGCAAGATTTGTTAGCAGCAGAAGAGATAACCCTCTCACAAATAGTCTTAGCAGGGGTATCCAAGTCTCCAATATTGGCCTAAGCGCCAGCTGCCGTGCAGTAGTGAAGTAAACATTGGCTAATTTGTCGTTTGCCCCTGCTAAGGCGTCGAACTGCCATGGCACCCGAACCCTGTATGGCGATGTTCAATACTTCATGAATATGACAAACAAGGAAGCTACCAGCAAGCCCAATGACATCCACGTTAGAGGCAAATTGCGAAGAGGCCTGGATCCAAATATCTCGCAGCTACAAAGATGTAGTTAAATTGTTCCGGCAGCGGGCCATGACCTTGCCTGATCCGCTTTGTCCGAAAACACTGGATGAGGAGTTTTAATATACGTAGCCGTGAATGCCGGAGCCTAAAGTACGGAACCAGTGTGAACATAATCAGTAAAGTTTTTCCGGTGCACGGAGTAGGTATGTTCCGCATATACAGGCAACGTGCAGGTACACCCCTGGGCGGACCATAACCATGCTGCAGCCCACACTGACGTAGTATTTGCGTAGTAATGTATCGGACAATGACCAGTATTCTCCGCTGCAATTTCAGTCCTGTAAGTGTAAGTGACTACAATTTTACTAAGCATGGTGAACTAGCCTGATCACCCTGCACTCCGAATTGGCTAGCACTGATACTGGCCAAGTTGTCGTAAACGGAGTTGGGTTCGTCGACTTATCCAGTATGTGATCCATAATAGACAGGTCGGTCTCGACCAGCCGAGATCTCCAACGACACCTAGTATGTGCATATGGCAAGTCGTACCATTCCGCGCTTCCCAGTCAGCAAGGAGATCGTGGTTTCCTTGATGGTAAGCAAGATTTCCAAGAAGTAGCGAAGGAGCAGGGTAGGCCGCAAAGCTTGTGCAAGGAGGTATTGCCTGATGAGCAAGTACCTGTAATATGTCCTCCAATACTTGGAAAGGAGGGACCCAAGATACTGAATTTAATTACTAATACATGCTGAGAGGCCTCCGCGGGGCTTGAAGCTTATATGTTCACATTTAGAAAGCGTTTCTCACAATATTCCACAATCCCGATTAAGCTTATGCTGCGGTTCTTGTTCGCTAATCCGATGTCGAAACTCGAACCGATATATCAGCAGCTGTGTTCTCCCCTAGCTTCCGAGCTTCTCTCGATCCATCCGAACGACCTGGCAGCTTCTGGCTTTCAATTTCCTGAAAGTTGGAAGGGTTGGTGGAACTGGGCCACATCAATATGTGATGAACAAACACCGTACTTCCCAAGGTGGATGTCGATTCTCAATTACTATTCTGCGATGTCCGATGACCAGCGGACGAGGAACCAAGCTCCAAGTAATAAATCTTCAGTGAGCATGCTTTATGATGATTGGCGCGTGCAGATACCATCCTCATCTTACGATAGATCTCGCCAGATTTGAAAGTGCTCATGGATGACATTTTCCGCGTCCAGCTGAGTAGAGATCATGTTGCCATCGGGGACACCTCCGAGTCGGGTTAGTCGCACTTCAGAGGCTTATCAGGCGCCTTGAATAGCTTTCTCACTTGTTGGCTCATCGTAATACTTTCTATATCCAGGGGATGCTCACAGATCGTACGGCATGTCACCAAAGAAAGTGCATGAGGTCTCCAGGATGTCGCAATATATCGAACGACTTTTATGCTCAAGTTCTGCAGATATACTACATCATGTTGTCGATGTGGGTTCAGGACAAGTTAGTATTTTTGTACATCTTTTTCACCTAAAGAAGTCACAGGAATGCTTTGTCCAATAATCAATGGTTTTCTTTTCAGGGTTATTTGTCTCGTGCACTCCAGAATTTAGGTTTACATGTTCTGGCCCTCGATTCCAATGAAATCCAGACCTCTGGGGCTGAACGCTGGAAAGCAAAAGAAGCGGCGAGAAGGCAGAAGCAGCTCAAAAGGGGAAAGGGCGTCCAGGCCTTGCCCCACTCACACCATCACTACAACGATCCCCTTTTCCAATCAAACGTGGCAACCTCTGTGCCTTCAGCTTCCACGGCCAGCAAAATCATAATGCACAGCCATACAGGTTCTCTTACCCACCAGACCATCTGCATCGACCCCCATACACTTGAATCATCAATTCATGATTGGCTTTCCTCCGGCGAAGACGACCAAATCGCTGGTTGTATCAATATGATCGGAGATTTACCTGTCGATGGGACTGAGCGACGCACAGCTGAAGAGAAGCTGATCCCTGTGATGATGGTTGCCCTTCACGCCTGTGGATCCCTCACGCCTGATGTTCTTCGTACATTCTTGTCTAATTACCGTAGACCCTCAGCCCCCGGTGTTCGCATTTGGACCGCGCAGGCACTTATCGTAGTAGGATGTTGTTACAACTTGATGGCGCCTGAGGGTGAGCATCGGTTTTTATGGCTGGTTTAGGCGAGGTTTGCTACAACTGCACCGATAGATTTTCCGTTGTCACGGTCGCTGCGTGAGCGAACCCCAGTAGCAACACTTCCCCTTGCCTCTCGCCACCTGGCTACGCAAATACCATCTCAATGGTTCCGCAATGAAACATCAACCCGGGAAACATCCCTGGCAATACGCAAGGTCGTTTTTCGAGCCCTCCTTCAGCCTGTCCTTGAAATAATTGGTGCACGAGAAGCCTCCGCGATTCATACTGTAACCTCTCCCTCATGTAATGTCGAAGAACTACGCGGCGCAGGTCAGACACCGGAAAATAGGCGGTTGGGGAAGCTCCCTGATGCTGCATACAAGGACTGGGACACATTCCTGGATCGTGCAACTTCGAAGACTGGTGTCCGACTCGATCAAATCGCAGCACAGCTTCCCGTTTATATTCATGACAAGCATAGACGACTGCAGTTGGAAAGTGCTTTGTCAGTACTGCACGTGTTAAGGTGCATCATGGGACCTCTGATAGAATCCCTCATCCTCCTTGATAGGCATGAATGGATTAGGGAAGAGTTGAGTCAAAGTAGTGAAACACAGGATTCAAGCGCAATGGACGTTCGACTGGTAAACCTGTTTGACCAGGCAACAGGAAGTGGAAGGAACGTAGCTATTGTTATCAAGCCTTGTGAATGGCCTAATATGATTTAATACTGCTCAAGCCAGTCAGAGAACACCTTCACACTTTTCGATACATCACAGTTGAACGTATGTTATGGATCGACTCAATTGACGTGAGAGCCTTGAAATGGCCATGAAAAGGTGTCCTTTCCAATCTTCGCTACAATGGTATCCGCATCGAACCCTCCGATGTGGGCGGATGATACTCTAGCACCGAATCGCTGGTTTAGCGTCGGGATTAGCTGAGATGGAAAGTGCGGAACACGCGGAAAACACTTGGCCTGGAGTTGTTTATTAGATTTCCCGATGTCCCCGGTCAAGTTGTTGTCCGATGTGTCTTCCACTGCTGTGACCCCTTCATAAGTGTGAGGATGTCTTTTAGTGTCGACATCTCCGTTCATTGATGTGTCAGGGTCTAGAAGAGCCCATGCGATTGAAACATGGAACCGTGGTTGGCTATAAAAATCTCGTTGACGCAGGAACTGAAGTGTCGGCGACAGTGCAGATAGCAAATCCCTCAACTATGATAAGTCAGTTTGGAATCAGGTCGATATAACACCGGGACGAACTTCATTATGACCAGCTCCTACCTCGAGGGCAAGGAACGTCCTCGTTCGCTCATCATTTGTAAATTCCGAAAACGTTGCAAATGAAGCCTGAAAACTTCGTAAAACGGTAAGAGACCACATGTATGCAATGGATTACACATGTGGCGTACGGGGTTCGGCGTGAAGCAATCAGCTTTATGGCTTGTTTGAATTCTTCTCTTTGGTGGGCGCGAAGAAATATTGGTCGAGTCAATGAAAAGTGCAGCTCCCGCACCCTGCGAGAGCTATTGACTACCGATCCACTACTATTCCTACTACATGAGATAGTTTCTCCTATGGCATGAACGGCCGGGACCATTTCCTTGGTGACATTGAGTACTTCATCGAGCAACGAGTACAATGCAGTTCCAGGATGCACGACGAGGGGAATATAAACATATGTGGCATATTGGCCCTCTATGTGTGGAGTTATACGAACCCGGCCTTGATGAAGAGCAGGGTCATCGACGGGTACTGGTACGATGAAGGATGATGCAAGAGACGGCAATTTCCTGTGCGTAGATTGAGCGGCATGCAGCAGAGAGATCATGAAACGGTCAACTTCTTCTTTCCCTCTGGAGCATCGGCTGAAGCTTCGTCTTCGGAGCCAGAGTAAGCTACCAAGGCCCGTGATGCGCGCTTCATGTGGCACGTTATGCAGAACCACCTTCAGTGCGATATACATACTATAGCACCCGCCGCCGGCAGACTCCGTTACTACTTATCATTTGATCGAGTGCATTGGCAAGCGCTAACCATCACTAGTTCAATTATGAGTGTTCAATTCATCAACAACCTAAGCCAGTCAAGTCAAGCTCACTCGCACGAGCCTGGTGGTGTGCCTCACACTCACGATCATGGCGACCACGGACATACACACGAGCACCTGGAGCACCCAGGTCGGTTTCGTTATCGAGCGCATAATCAATACTGGTAATCCCGTCACTTTCTTGCAGGTAAATTTTCGGAACGGGACCTTCCCGACTATTCTCTGCGAAACTTCCAAGAAAGAGGCTTTACCATCGGAATTGGCGGGCAAGTCGACAAGCATACAATACCTATGCACTCACAGTGATCACCTCATACAGGCCTGTTGGTTCCGGCAAAACAGCCTTGACCCTTGCGTTGTGCAAGAAGCTTCGTAGTAAATATAACATTGGTGAGAAAATATAATATGATTTTCTGCATTCTGTGAAACTTCAATATGCTTAGCTACTGTGACCAACGACATCTTCACTCGCGAAGACCAAGAATTCCTTATAAAGAATAAGGCACTCCCGACGCCTCGTATTCTAGCCATCGAGACCGGTGGATGTCCTCATGCGGCAATCCGTGAGGATATCAGTGCGAACATGGGTGCTTTGGAGACACTTCAAGCAAAGTTTGGCTGCCAACTCCTTTTTGTGGAAAGTGGAGGGGATAACTTAGCTGCCAATTATTCCCGAGAATTAGCTGACTACATTATATATGTCATAGATGTGGCGGTATGTCTGTCAGACTCTCAATGAAGTTTCGTCTCACATGCATTTCTAGGGAGGAGACAAGATTCCCCGTAAAGGTGGACCAGGAATCTCGCAGTCTGACCTTTTGGTAATCAATAAGGTTAGTCAAAAATATATTTAAACATCATACCTCCTCATTCCAGAGGTTCAAGATCGACATCGCGCAATATGTTGGTGCATCTCTTGATGTGATGAGACGTGATTCAAAACTCATGCGTGGAGACGGCCCAACCATTTTCACGAGCATAAAAAACGACCAAGGCGTTGACGACATCGTGGAACTGATATTAGGTGCTTGGCGAACAGCCGGCGAACCCGGCACACAAGGTGCAGTGGGTGACGATGAGTGAGGGTAATAAAAGAACGTTTGAAGGAATTCCAATATGATAGGTGAGGAGGTGCTATAAAGAACTGTAAACGGCGATCGCGGTGTTTGTAAGTACGACACCGTTAAATTTCTTTTGAAGTGCCGGGTGGTCTACTATACATATTGAGGACAAGCTATGTTACCTGACCCTCCTGGAATATACATGCTACTAGTATTACTCATCCCTGGCTGCATAGAGTTGCAGTTTGTCCATGTCGTATCACAAACGACTACTTTACCGGCCTTCTGCAGCCTCGCTCCTGCAATTGAGGCTCAACAACTTTTTATTTATTTATTTTGGGACCAATCTTCGAACGTTCATGCATCATGTCGCTGACGTAAAAATTCCACTTCGATGCCGTAATCACTGTGTGTGGAGGACTTATACAATTGAACTTGTGTCGCCGCTTCAGCGTACAGCACCAAGCCTCCATTCATTAGAACTACAATGGACGCTCAGCCAAATAACCATCCGTACACGATTGTGCGTATCAAGCGCAAGCGCACGGATGAACCACTCGACGCACTTGGTGTGTTGCTCGTGTCACCCGTTCGCGAAGTCAGGTTCTTATCGTGACATTAGTCGTCGAGTCCCGGGTTCGCAAAAAGAGGTCGAAAGGTGGTCGCGATGTTTTTCAGTTTATTCAAACTGTCGAAGAGACCGTCTGGGCGAATAAGCAACTGCAGGAGACGTTACAGGTGAGTTACCTCTATAACGCTCGTCGGGTTCGCGTTCCATAAGAGTTCCATCACCGTGCAGAACCAAATCTCGAAATTGTCGCAAAATAACGATGAACATAACGTGCAACCCTTGGCACCTGCGGATGTCACGAATCTATCTGGGGCCCAACGCCATCGTCAATTAGCTGATGAAGGAAGACGCTACACAGTCGTTCCTACACGCGAATCTGCTGAAAACACCAAGTTTGCTACCACTCCGTGAGTCTTCTCATGATGTTTCCAGATACTTGTCTAACTTGGGGTAGTCCAAAGGTCATATCCGCGAAAGATGCTCAGTCGCAAAGTGACTTTAGGATGTATGATGCCGTTCCAGCTGATGCGATGCCTGCGTCTCCCGTCTTTGACTCCGACATGGAAAATTTCTTACCCATGCTACAAAATTACTTGCGCAGTAAGTATTCCTTCTCTTGATGTCTTGCATGCCCATGCTCGTGCTTTCCAGTGAACGATGAGCCTTCGCAAGTTCTCTCAGCTGCTCCCCCGGTGGAGGATTATGTCTGGGATGTGTTCTACAGGCGCCCATGCACCCTCAGCGAATGGAATTCAGTTGCTAATATCGGAACTCTGTAAGTTGCCTGGCTTGATGCGCGATGCAAATCATTGATTGGAATGTTGTCGCGCTTGTAGTGAAGGCCTTCCTCCCTCACTGGATGATCCTTACTCTAGTGACTCAGATTCCGAGGAGGAAGATAATGCTGATGAAGACTCGAATGGTATGTCTGTAGTTTGGCATTAAATCTTTCATCTGACGCGACATTTCCCAGCCGAGGAGTATTATAAGAATGACTATCCAGATGAGGATGACTCAGATGATAGCGAGGGAAGTGGTACGTTTTTCGTAGCCTCATTCAAAAGTTAGTCTGAGATCTGCCTATAGATATATTTCATGAAAGCTCTGAAGCGGAAGACGATCTTCGATACGACAATCCGAGTGATGAAGACAGCTATTGGAGGTAAGAGATTTGGTCATAGAATTTGCATTTGTGGCATAAGGATGGACACAACACACATTGTACTACGATTTGCATAATTATACAACACCTTTACGACCTATAGCTGCATTGTTTCTTGGCTTCTTCTTACATTCCTCAGCGTCTTCATCTTCGCATGCCCGAATCACATACTTGAGGTGTCTTTGAGTATGAACTGACATTTACATTAAAATTCAATCGGAGCAAACGAGCAAAGAGATCACATACTGCGCTAGGATACCTTGTCCGCCGCCTCCCAAACCTACCAATCGTCATCAATCCGAGGAAAGCCAGGGTGATACCCATCAATATAACAACTGCAAGAGTTAAACCCGCGCCAAGGACGCCGGCTCCAGCTGAACTGATTTTGGGTCGAGCAGCTGCTTCTCCTTGAGCTGTCGCAAGAGCAAGAGCAGAGCAAGGCATGTCTTGAGTGTTGGCACAAACACTGCACCAATTTGCGGTGGTGTTCACCGCGACAGGCTGGCAGAGATGTAATCAATTGAAGGCAAGTTTAGAGCAGTCACCTCGACTCACAGCCATAGCATCAATGAAAGCAGATAACGGGACATCTCCTGTGATGTTGAGGAAGTCGTATGTCACGAAGGTTGCATCACTGGTTCCGTTCTTAAAGTTGAAACGGATGACAGGTTCACCACCCCCGGAAGGTTGACGCAGCTCCAAGGCAACGGCGGAAGCGTAGTTGACTGGCTGCGTGTCAGTCAAGCTCACGACGAACATAAAACTGGTATACTGACCAATGCCTGCAAGACTCGGGTTTGCACTAGCAACGCCTGTCATATTAAAGAGGGAGATGAAAGGTTTGTATGAAATGGCGGTAATCGATAACGGCACAGGATTTGTAGATTTCATGATGTTTGCAAATCCACTGAGAATCGATGGCAGAATAGCCGTACCGGCAACTAGGGACGAACGTCACAAATTAGCGTTTCTTTTCTTCAAAACTAGACGTACTGTTCCCGATGCCTCCAATGGACCGATCGCTAAAGACGTTGTACTCATGCCAATTAGCCAAAGCTTGTACTTGCGCCATGTATGTGGGTGGGAGAGCCTCGGCAAAGGTGGCATTATGGATATTATTCACATTCATAAAGTCGAAGATCTGCTGGCAAGTTCAGCCTGTTGCTGCATCAAGAGCAGGTAAGCATACATTCCACTACAACAATTGGGGTCAGAACACGGATGAAACGTAACTATCCGGCAACATACCATATTCTCCAGTTGTACTGATCTTCCATTCAGATAAGGAGGCAAAGAGTCCAAGAAAGGTGCGCTTTGTGCAGCCATCTCTTGAAAGACGGATGATTGGTAAAAGTCTGTCGTATGCGTGTCGAATGTCTGAAAGATATCGTCGTTATGAGAAAATTTAGAGGAATTTTTCGACAAACATTGCAATTAGTGAAACCTTCCAATTGTGTACTCAAATTAGGATCAACAGCGTCGACTACCCTGTGTGAGCACTGGACGCTTGCTGAGGTGTCTACATGAACTCACTAGGCACATACTTTGTGACATGCTGGTCAGGGGACGCGAGCTCGTATCACAAGCAGCACATACCTGATACCCTCCGAGGGGAGCTGTGATCGTTGTCCCATTGGCAAGAGTGACATTGTTTGAGAGTGTGGCAGGCCAAAGTCCCTGCGTTAATGACACACAAGAATCATATATGACTCCACCTTCGTCTCCAGCGTCTGCTTGAATGAACACCTGGGCCGGGTTGAATAGCCCTGTGCTCATACCAGGGAGGTACGAAGGTGATGACTGATTCAAGTATAATGAACGTAGGTAACTACCGAGCATGAACTCTTCTTGCTACAAGAGGTCGATGAGATACGATACAAATAGCCCAATGTTACTGACGCACATTGCCCAGGGGAGTGATCACCGTACCAGTTGCGGTATAGGTATCAGGGTTTTGATAAAGTCCTTGTCGATCACCGTGACGAACGAGTAACACGACGCCCAAAATTTGATTGTCAGTATCTTGTGACATGATGACCGTATACTGATGATTACGGCGCAGTCGGAAGACTGGGAAGGACAACTGCCAGTGGATCTGGGAAGAAGAGTACCTGTCAGGGTGCGGCAGACTCGTAATGGCACTGGTCTGCCATTTAAGCTATCGATATCATCGTGATGACAATTATAACTTCGAATTCGCATCGTATTAACATTCCGATATGACAATGATTACCATTTGCGCCTAGGTCCCAGCACGTCGCGGGTTCATGCGTCAAAATATCACAATGATTGACAATCGTGTAGTCTCGACGGCGAACCAGATACAATAAAGAGCCACCATGAATAGGTCCTAGGATAACTTGCAACATGCAACAGTTAAGAATTGATGAGTTTTTCTTCTTCGGAGTGCGTAGTGGGCGTTGAACTTACTACTTCTGCAACCCATAAGGAGTTTTGTCGGTTTCCCCCTTAGATCCTCTAACCAGCTGGTCACTCATGTGGCCTGATTATTAGTGGAGATACATCATGACTCAAAATCAAACTTGCACGTCGGAAACGCCCGGACGAGGACCCCGACATTTGTGTGTCATATCTGACGATGTCCGGATTTCTGCTATATTCATTATTCACAGCTTGCATGTATCGACATCCATGAAGATTATAGCAAACGCCAACTTCAAGGAAGTGGCACACGTTTCTCTTCAGTGTCCTTGTTCGGACATTTGCGACGCACGAGTGCGGCAGGACGCATGCTGTCCACAAAACAGAAATAACACGTACTTTGGACTACATCCAAGTTAGCAGAGGCTGATTTTCGACACAGTAAAAGTTTTTCCAAATTTATGAATTAGATCCCCTCAACCACGGCGGCCCTGCTCGATAATTCCTTCGCTTCCTCCGGCTTGATGAAGACGTTATCGCGAGAGCACCATGTTTCGTGTTTCCAACCTCACTTGGCGTGCCGTTTTCTTGGATCAGGAACATCCCTGATGCCATATGCTTGCCATGTACCCTATTAGTGCCTGATTACTTTTGAACAGTATCAGGTACGCTCACCTAGCCAGACCACTATACTCCTTCGAGGTAGGGACTATGGGAACCTTCTGCAACGATAGCCAATTGCCAATATTCGTGAGTTATGACTCATCCCAAGCATTACGAATATCTATCTTAACAATTTTCGGTAGTGAACCGTACAAGCTTGTCTTCGATCTTCCTATTCACTAACTGTACTAAAATTTAGATTTGATCAAGCAAGTAGTTACAAGGTGGGTCTCACCGTAATTAAGCAGCGCCTCCACAACAAAATCAGCGGCAAGAAGATAGTCATCTCACGATTCTCATTATGCAAACAACAACTTAGGTTTCAATGATAGAGCGGCGCCAGATCCTACACGGTGGATGTACTAGTAACAGAGCCACCGTGGTCTTCAAACTCGTCACGATCGCCCCCAAGTGTCGGGCGGCGGCCAATCATTAACCTCAGTGATAGAGGAAAGCGACTGCCCCTCAGTCCTCTGACGCCTTTTCCTAACCCTTTGTGTCTGCATCGATTCTATGCGAGATAATACACTAATTGGTTAATCAGACCTTCATAGACAGTCATTCTTGATCTACTAATATTCGTGCACCGAATTTATCTGCAGGTTGTTCGTATTCGCATTGACGACGCTGCTGGCGGCGGCTTGGTGATCATGGTAAGATATTCAAACTGTACAACGCAATGATTAGCTGATCCTGATGCTTCAAGATCTGCATTCCCGAACTAAAGTGGTCTAAACGATTGTCCCACTTTTCACTTAAGGAGGGTGTTCAGAGTTGTTCTCGCGCTTTGGTGGAATTTGATAAGTCACCCGTATCATATCTTCATACTTGTACCTGGAAATCACGTCTCGACAGTAAGACCCATGACATGAAGTACCTAGTCTATAAGTATAGCCACGGTGGTGACTGGTCCGATGACTTCGAGTCGCATGTTTCAAGAAGGACCGTGGTATTTCAGAACAACATGATATCCAAAGCAATTGTGCATAGCAACCGAACCAATCTGCTGACCGGGTATGTTTAGCATGGATCGAGAACGGAACAATTTGCAAACACACCAGCATGAAAGCACTCTAGCCTGAGAGCACCTTCGTCAGTCTGCTTATCATCATAAACTCAGATCTGAAGAGCGATGAAACCTCGACTCTCTCCTTTGAGGCAGATTCGGAGACGTATTGAGTACAGTACAGTAATTAGTCTGGCCATGGCACAAACTCACAGCTTTAAGAATACAAGCGGTGACTTTCAGTCGTTGCTTTTTATTGGCACACTCATGTCATTCCACTACAAAAGCAGACATTTGTACACTATATTTGTACCATATCTCTCCTCATTACTCCTGAGAATAAGCGCACATACGGGACTTAATTCAGTAAGTTTAGTTTGATCATGAGCAAAAAGATCAGTTTTGAGATCCAGAACTACGAGAAAGCGTGGAACCTTGACAGTCATTGAAATAGCTGTATAATTAAGCTAATTGCGTGCGATTCACCGTCAAACTCGAGCATTGACGATGAAAAGAAAACGGGATGCATGGAATACAGTCACGGTGGTTTTCAAGACTGTTGAGCGGTTGGACTTGGACAAATCGACAATGCCGGGCTGTTATCCGTACTCGCGCAATAATTTCTCACCAGTCCCTTTCGACCGAGAAGTTGTATCGAGAGTATGGCGCATATGCAACTTATCTTGAGATCCAGTCGATGGGGAAATTTTTGAGCGCTAAGCAGTCTGGTGTTTGTTCAGGTACGTCAATAGGTTCGATCCTCGACGGACTGACACTGTACGGCTAAGTCACATGTACAGTTGATAGTGTTGTGAAATAAAATGGAAGAACAACATGCAGATGAAATTGGAGGGAAAAAGCGCAAACGGATTGTAAACATGCGTGCAGACATGTGCCCCCGCCGGCTATTCATGCGAACGCACACTGTACGTACTGTCTACTATCTAGTGTCACAGGGCAACTTGAATGTCATCATAGTTACAATAAACGGGAACTCATTGAAATACAGTATAGCGCTTCAGCATCAAACACGAGGGAACGTTCAAGCCGTGTGGAGAGATCCACCAACAGATTCCATCGTCTGCGTTGAGCACATGCCAGTGAGCTTTCGAGCGAGCATAAGAGCGACGAACTCACAAATGGAGAAGCTGTAGGGCCATCGAGGATAGAGAGTTCCTCCTGCGTGAAGGGAAGCAGCGGAATTACGTAGGTTCGAAGAGGAACAAGAAGCAAAATTATAATCGGAAAGCCGAGAGCAGCTGCTCCAGAATTAAGCAAAATCACAATCTGTAGATGAGAAATAATTTACCAATGGACTGTGTAACCACGAATGTTGCCCCGAAGGCCACAAGTTGAATAGCCACAAACATCAATAGTCGCGATTTCCTGACTTTCTTCAGTGGGTCATTAGGTGAAGTGAGAGTCTTGTCCCGTATGAGGTAAAGGAGTTTGATGGTAATTCCGTTACCCTTGAGCGCATTCGCCCCCATGAACCAGCTACCCTATAATCAGCAGAATCAAATGACAGTGGATAACCTTACAATAGGCCAGCCAGCACGCCTCTTGGAACGAGACCCAGTATATGCAGAAACGGGCCGGTAAGTAACACAAGGCATAATGAACCCTGGGCAAGATTGGACACTCGTTGTTCAACAACGGCGATGGGGACTTCTCGCCGACTGACGGAATAGTCAAATGAATTTTCCGTTTTTATAACTGCACCATTAGAATCATTGCCAGATTCTGAGGATAGTTTGGTGATCTGCTGTTCTTCATCTATATCTTTCTGGGAAGATTTTCCCATGATGAGCAATGAAGCGGTGTGAATAGGTGCTTGAGGTATAAGTCCGTTGGGTGCAGGCACCCCGATGAGTCCCGCTATGAATGTTGTGATACCGAGAAGGAAGAAATCGTAGTGGAATCCGGGGGGCTTCCGCAAAGGAAACTGCGAACCCTGAGCTATCAGGGACTATCAAGCAATATCATTAAGATGGCGTGCAAGTAGCGGGAGCGGGACGTACCGAGACATTATGATCAAAGAAGAACAGGATCCAAAGGATTATGCCGAAGGGAAGCGCGATACCGACCCATTTCCCATCTAACTCCCAGAATTTGACAAGCCATGCTCTTCCATTGGCGGCCTGGAACGCACCACCTACTGGTAACGTAGAAGGATTAGAAGCATTAAACCGGCCCCAGTATGCCATGCTTGAGACCGCAATAAGGGAGATGGGCATTCCGTAATCTGAGAAGAAACGACGGATATGGCGATGGAATAACGTGGTCTCCGAAAGGCATTGGAACAAGAATGATGTTACCAGCATCAGAAGGGCAAGGGTAATACCCACCAAAGCCCCCTCAAAATCCCCACTAAATTGTCGAGTGATCACTTGTACTCCGTATTGGAGGTACACCCAGGAAACGTAGAAGCCAAACGTGTCGCAAGAGAACAGAGTGACATATCTCACAGCATTGCACCCTTGAGAGCCAAAATCAGCTTTCAATAGGAAGTAGTTGATGAGGGAAGGTCACCCACAATTAAAAATGGCCGTTACCCAATGGATTATTGCAGCCCAAAGGTAAACCCAGCCCACAAAATGCAGATAATTTGGTGCATTTGACTGTTTGTGGATGATGTCATATATCGTCTTGTTAAAAACTGTGATTGGTCCTAAATAGTCAACTATGAATAACCCGTCGACGACGAGGCATTGTCACATCGTGACAGACGCTGGAATTTGCATACCAGTGACCCCCGCGATTGTAAGGGGTTGCGCGCCGAATACGGAAAACACAAACGCAGCCATGAAGGAGGATATAAGGACCTCAGTGACTGTGTATTGTTGGGTCGTCTCTATTAGGTCTAGCGAAAATGCTATGCCAGGTAAGACACTATACGCCGCATTTGTCAGAGCACATCATGTGTAGAGTTCACTGACATACTTTGCAAAGAAAATGAGGGCGGTTGCGGGAACGACTCGATAATTCCATGCATCTGTCCAGTCACTCAAATACCAAGGAGCGCGAGCACGGACGTCTGATATGATGCCGGTCCCAGGTTTAGGGACGAACGAAAGAGTTCGACGAGCTGTAGGAGCATCTTGTAAAAGGGTATTCGATCCAGGTGACTCTCTTGCTTCTTTTTCCATAGGACGAACTTTAACGGGAATTTGGTTTCTGTACAAAGTCGTGGGCATCAAAGATATCAATGAGAACTGCTAGACACTGGAGAAAGCAGGGAAATTATGAATTACACGTACTCAAACACGAGTACCAAGTACATAAGTCAAAGTACTAATGGAATAAAAATTTTCAAATCAGGGTGAAGATTGCACTGTAATACGTACGTGGCACGACCAGATCTGCGATCAACTAAATGGGACGCGTAGGAAGGTCTTGGCTGCAGTCGACTCTTACCTCATCCAGTCTCCTAGCGTAGTACTTCGCCAACCCTAGCACGTATGTACGGTCATTTGCCATCGAGATCGAACAGGGATCTCAAATGTCCGTCTCACTGGATACCCTACTTCTTAATGACTTCCTTGTTGGACATCTCTGTAAAAGGAACCGCTCGCCGACCCCAGATGCGCATTTCTTCTGGATGTTCAAGAGGGATGAGTTCAGCAGCCCATGAAGTCCATTACTCGTGTCAGGGTTTTGACAAGGCATTCCGAAATCGAGTGAGCTGCGAACGGTCCAACTTTGAGGGTTTCTGGGACATTTATGACTGCCAAGTAAAGAACACCATCACGACAAGCCAAAGTAATGCAGTGCAGGATAAATCAGGCGTGAAAGCTGCAGCAGGTGGAACAGTGGCAAGATGTCTCTTCGAAGATAGTGATACTACCAATGCTATACAGCGCAATGAGATGCACTGCTTTCCTTCCATGCTAATTTTCTACACAGTGACCACGTACCTGGTTTCGTCAAGCATGGTTCGTTCTACAAGCTATTCGTAGTATCCGTCGAGGCGTAAATAGCTCCCTCTGCTGAAAATTTATCAACCCGAGCAGGCTCGGCAGCACTCTCGAGCTCTTCATCGAGTAACATCATTCGAAGCATACTGGTGTGGATAGCCGTCGTGAGAGTATCGCAATTCCCATTTGACCATTCGTACACTTGCGAGTGTAAGCTCGATAATTGCCACTGTTATTAGTCTGCGCGAAGGTGAATCAGACATTCTGTCTACTTGGAGCACGAATATGAAGAATTACTTTTTTGCACTTCCCTGCATTCTTGTTCTCGGTAGAACCACGGGGATCTCGGGGGCCAACGGATTTGTATTAGATGCGGCGTGTGTTGCGCTGCAACAGATTTACAGACGTAATCCGCCAATTGTACCAAGGCCTAGACCAGCTGCGCCTCTGTTGACCCTCCTGTGAGGATGAAGTGTATCGTAGGAATGTCTGCAGCTGTATCAAACCGATGATCCGAAGAAGTGGATGATCAATAGACCAATATCTGAAATACCAAAATCAACTCCAAGAGTTTGTTTTACGGTGTTTGCCTGTCCAGCGTGACTTCTGTGATCATAGAAGAGAGCATGAGAACTGACTTGGACCTATACATAGTCATATAGACCATGAGGGGATGAAGAAGCTTGCACAGTCTTGCACAGTCATAGAATAATAACTGCAGTCCGCGTCCACGCAACGACACGTTACGAAGTGGCCATGGTGCGGCGCCGAGTCGGGTTGTAACGGTTTGCAACGTACGCTAGGGCTCGTTGATGTCCCTGAATGTTTCCACGATTGAATATGAGGGTGCCAGTGTGCAGATTTTAGGGTGCAGACAACATCTTTTCTGCGCACCAAAGGATATTTTATTATGTAATATTGCACAAATCGCTCTGCCTGAGACTGCAACTTGTGATTAGTTGTTTCCAATGACGGAGATAATATGACTGAGCAGAAACCATTTTGAAGGTTTTGGGGCACTAATTTGGGCAGTGAGTGTCCACGGGCCCAAATGCCAGTCCCGACGGGTCAAAGTCCATCGAGAAGTGCATAAATCGAGGAGTAGATCGTCCTCCGCGAGTCGGAAGTGTTTGCACAAATGATTGAGCGAAGCAGAGACTCAACAGGATATACTATTCTGACAAGCAGGACATGAATTTGATTTATGGGCAGATGTAGTATTATTAGGTAATACACATCAACCTAACAGTCACCGCCTCACTGTATATACCAGTACTACTTCTTTATGTCCATTCAACCAGACAACGATGGTTTGTTTCCACGGCTTAGAAAGGTTTTCGCGGTCCTCGGGTTTCTCTACCTAGGGGCAGTCATTCTTCTAGCAGTGCCCTGGGTCCAGTCTCAGTAAGTCCAATCATTCATCCTTTACAATGGCGCATGTAGAACTCGAGGCGTAATTAAGCATTCTGTACATGAACGCCTTGAAGCTACCTTGGAACGCACATTTCGATGCACCGGAAAGGCATGGTCTTGCCCGTACGTTTTACTCCATCCGGTCCATTTCTTTCGAAACTCATTAGATTGATTATGGATACGTTAGCTGGGAAAACGGCGAACATCAAAATTCAGACTGTGGACAACCACACTCTCGGCGCATGGTTCATTCTCTCAGATGCCATCTATCACAACTTGCCCTTTCCCCCGCTTCCATCTGCCGCAGAGTTGCACATCTCAGAAGCCGTGGCACAGCGTCCAACTGTGCTCTTTTTCCATGGCAATGCTGCTACGCGGGCTCTAGACATGCGTGTTCGCCTATATTCTGGGTTCACCTCGCGCCTGGACGCAAATGTCCTAGCAATAGATTATCGTGGATTCGGGGATAATCCAGGTACACCTACTGAGGACGGCTTGTCACTAGATGCAAGAGCTGCGTGGGATTGGTTGATCGCGCAAGGTGCTTCACCGCAGGATGTCCTTATAGTGGGACATAGCTTGGGAACTGCAGTTGCTTCCAGTCTCTCTGTCAGCCTCTCCGAAGATGGCGTCAAGTTCAGAGGCACCGTCCTTATGTCTCCTTTCTCCTCGCTTCATACCCTGATCGATACGTATAACATTTTCGGTGTATTTCCTGTCATGTTACCCATTAATATGATACCTCGAGCGGCCGGTAAGTCTGGCAAAATCATTCCCAGACACCGACATACCCTGATTTTGTGCGTCTCAAAGGTATTTATAAGAGTTTTCTCGTCCACAAGTTTGACACTTTGTCGGTGATATCAGTACGTAAATGTCCTATTCCTAGGTTATCTAGCACCTCACCAGTTTACGTCCAGAAACTCAAGGTACCGATATTGATACTGCACGCGGAGGATGATTGGGATATCTCACATACCCATTCCGACGCTCTATTTGACGCTCTCCTGGAACCATATCTTCCTCCCATCTCTCCACCAGAAAGTCAAGAGTTGTGGTCAACACAGCAGTGGAGCGAGTACCATTCTCAATTGGTCACGCGAAGGGAAACACGAGAGTCCTTACTGACCCGTACCGTCATCCCGAATTTCGGGATAATGGATCAGTTCGATGGTTTTGGAGAACGCATCACCCTACTCAAAACTTCCACTGGTTCTCACAATATGGTTGGTACTCTTGAGGGTGTTCAAGAAGTAATACGCAATACATTCTTCACGCCTGAAAACTTGCGTTGATACTGATAGCATGTTTATATTATACGAATTGAATAGCTATAATCGATTAAAGCAATCAACTAGACTTGCTGTGTTGTAATAGATCCCGCCACACCTTCGGAGATCATACAACTAACTTGAAGTGTTACAATCTGCACACCTGAACTACGTTTCTGCTCAGCTCATTGCGCGTTCAGCATTCATTGCTAGACGTAGGTCAGGCTCTAATTCTTCCTGATTATGCATGGTCAAAACTGAGCAATTTGAGTGAATATAAGTCACACTCGCCTGTATATACGATGACCGTCTGGACAGTTGATGTGCGACTGGCTCCACCATCCCAGTAGGCAGGTCATCTCTTACAGATCGATCGCTACTTCCGTAACTCTGAGTACTCGTACGTCCGCTTTCGTCTGAGATCCTCTGCCAGACCGTTAGATGAGAGACAGAGCCATCCTAAATTGCTTACCTGCTGCGGACCCATATCTCCAGCCGCCAAATCTACGTTCCTAGATCTTTCCAGCTCCAGTGCTTCCGCACGTCGTCGAGGAGTCGAATGAGGTAACTCGGTGAGTGCGACGTCCTTTGTTGGTTTGGACAGCGGAGGAACAATTGGAGTATTTAGAAGAAGAGTGACGGTATCAGAGATTGAGGAGAGAATTGATTTTGGCATTGGTGGAATAATGGGGTACAAATCTAGGGTTGTGGTCATGAAAATCTGACGCTGCGGCTCCAAACCAAGTGTTTCATATTGTGGAGGCAGACAGAGGGAGAACTCCCGAATTGGAGTTCAGTCTGGCGCAAGGGTCGGGCTGACGGACCGGCATTATGATATGCGGCGCACCTTTGCATTCTTATTAACTTGGATATCCTCTTTGTATCTGCTAAGCCAATCGAAGAGTGTTTACAGGCAGCCTGAAAAAGTGCTCGAAAGCGACCGCTGACTTCATTTACTCTTATTGAGGCGAGGTCTCCTTCTGCAGGACGAAGAAAGTTTGAGTAGATGTTCCCACTACGAGCATGAAGTGAAATAAGTTGACGTAGAGAAACCAGCTGTAGTGTTCAACATAAGAGTGTGACTTAGTGCTATGATGGTCCACCGTGAGCTACCATGAGTCACGGTTTTCACGGTTTGACTGACGGGCCGCTGGGCACACCTCTTGATATCAACGACCTACTACTAGCAGCAATGCTGGCACTACTCAAACTTCTCGACGTTCGATACTGTCGGCTACTCATGCCATTTTCCGTGGACTGCGAGAGTTTCTGTGTGCGTTGCACGATAACACATCACCCAGCAAGTATTCTACGTCTCGACTCTCAAAGACTCGTTCATCAAAGCATATCGGACTATTATACAAAGTTCGACGAATCACTATTTTGCATGTAATCTTCTCGTAAGTGTTCTCTTGATATTTACAGTGTTTTAACGACTTATTTCGTTATAGTCCTTGTCCCCCGAATAGGCGGCCTGCGGCCACTATCGTTCGAAGGTGTTTAAACTGCACTTGAACCACGCAAAAGATTGTTGACAGTTCGGTACAAACACGCCCAACGAACTTGATGGATGGGCTCGGGGATAGTACTATAGACTGCCCGTGGAGGACTTCGATGCCTCTGACCAGGCCGCTCAGGATATCCTACCTCTCGCCTCTGGCCGATACTCTCGCTATTCCTGATGAGTTCAAGCTGCTCAGAACTACCGTCTATAGGCTTGCACACTGTTTAGGCTCTACCGTCACAGTCGGCTCTCGAGTACATTTCCAGGTGGCTGTGGTGCTATTTCCCCTCGACCTGGTAAATGCTATCACCGTGATCATGATTAATTGATGTTACATCTAGCTATTGTACTTCAGTGTTGTTTCGTCTACCGTATAGCCGTATAGCCGGCCGTATGATGGTACGGCGACCCATACTGTCACTACTGTCGAGGGTATCGAGGTATGATATACGGTACAATACGGGCAGTACCCGTATGGCTACCGTACAATTGTACTGCTGTAACCATATACGGGGTTACAGTGACCAGCCCTAGACTCTAGTTTCGAGTTTCAGCAACTAACACCCCAAAAACTATGACAACGACGGCCCCGAGAGAAAATGCTATGGTAGCAATAGAATTGCGTGCCACCGGGAAGAAACCGCGTACGAGGGCTGCCTGGGTCATGAAGTAGCGTACGAGGCCTACAACTGATGAGAATGTATTATAAAATGCAATTATAAGACTCGCCATAAACTAGGATGAACAACCCCAAAAGCACCACTATGGCGCCAAGTGGGCGAGCAAAGCGCTCTCGTTGATTGTAGATATTTGTGTTTGTGGAACTAGAAAGCGTGAACAGCTGTACAAGGGCTGTTAATTCGGCTCTACTTGTAAGCGATTGCGATGGGCATAGATATACAAGTCATTCTTACCTACTCCAGCACTCGCGCATGCGAGACTTGTGCGAATATAGGCAAGATATGTTCGCTCTGATGCAAGATGATCACGAGCAACATTACCCTTATTCTCGAGCACTAGACTCAGCGTGAAGGGAGCAGTGAACTCGTTGAAAATTTCCCGGAATGTGCGAGGTGAAGAATGACTCGGATGTTTGCCAACCGTGACTGTCTGGTTCACCTGAGAGCCGGCCGACGGAGCAGACCCAAGACTCTGGTCAACGGAGTTGAGCATAGATTCCAGAACAGACCGTTGACACAGTGGGCGTATCTGATTAAAAAAAAACTGGCGTCGAGCACTGTCGTCGGCTGCCCCATTTTATGGCAGATGGAGTTACCTTCCCTGTATTCGAATCACAGGTTCTTTTGATAAGGTAAAAAGGTGTAGATCCCGTGAGATCGCTTGCCAAACTTGAGTGGGCGCTGAGCGCGGTATATGCTGTTATGGTCGACTCAGATCATTTGCAAGTTTCACCGGCACGGACTACACGCTCTATCCCCTCGAAGTTCTTACTTCTTCTTCTACCAAGTTTGATCCGATAAGTGCACAAAAGGAAAAGTGAAACACTAAAAATAATTATATAATCCCGGTCCGGATGTGCTACACGCTGGCATCATGTCCCTCTTGCCCTAGCTAACAGCTGCAGACCCAGACGGGTACCTGAACCAGGCGCTTTGCTTGCTTGTGGAGCGCCAAGCGTTATCATAAACAGAGTTGCCAAGATCAAGTCTTGTCAATGTCAATAACACAATAATGCCAAGTCGACACAGCGAGCACCGGGCAGACTCGGAGATGTATATGGGTTTGACCTTCAGCTTAATTCAGTATCCCGCCGTGTAGGCACAAATTTCGTATAACATATTGGGCCGGAGCTTCGCATCAGCTCTAACGTACAAAAGGTTCTAGATGAACGTGATAACGATTGCTCCTATCAGACTTTGCGGCAACAAATCTATGCTCAGTCGCACTGTTCAACTTCCTGGCCCTGACCCCGTCCTCGTCCCCTGTCACCTCCGCCCTGGCCGACCGTGTTTCAACTTCTTGCTCAATATTCCCAGATCAGGATGGTCAAGACCGTTCAAGTTGTGGATGTCGGCTGAGGTAGCTCCAACCAGCGTATCCGAAGCCCGAGTCACGCGAGGTGTATTAGCCGATATCTCATTGTCAACAGGCGCTGCACGCCTGAAACACCGAAGTTTGAATATCGTAACAATATCAGTACGAACCTTCCGGTCTGCCGCGTCGATGTCTTGGTTCACCTGCGTCCAAAGATCTGTAGTCTGTTGCGCAAATTTTATGGTCAGCCAACGATAGTGTCAGAAGATATTCTAGACAGAAACCTTTGTGAATCTTCCTCCTCCGTGCAATGTCCACATTACAAGTAAAGCATTATTACAACAGTTGAGCATGCTTGCCCGATGTCTATGTTGAGTGGTTCCTTCTAATAATACACGGCAGTCGTCTTGTACAAGAATTGTTCACTTGAGTAGCATCAACCAACCAACTAGTATATCATCGTCCTACACTAGGCCACGTGAAACCACGGCTACGCGAGTGTGAAACGCACTCACCATTGTTCTGCGCCAGTTCCATTCTCTTCTGAATGATAAAACTCTCGACCTTTTTCCATCTATCTGCACCTTCAAACCATTCATTCTGATCAGAAGGGTCTTCGTAATCTATACCTATGGGATCCGCGCGATAGATGTGGGTCAAATTGGGACACATCCCAGCTAGCATGTTGCCAATGACCTCAACATCTTCGCATTCCGCATGCCCAACATCGAGGTCAGTGACTTTTTCCCTGGCAATGCCGGTATATTGGTCACTGACATGGACAGGTGAGTCGTAGGGGGGCGAGGTGTCTAGGTTGACCCCTAGGGACCGCAAATTTGGACAGCGCTCAAGGATACCCGCAAGCCCACTAAATGTCACTCCCAAAAAGGTGACTCCCCAGTCCCAGCTAGTAGCAAGGTAAAGACATTCCATTTGCGGCCAAGCGGAAATGAGGTCTAGAACTTCGTCGTCGGTGATAGTGACATGCACTGAACTGAGATCAAGATTAGTGAGCCCTGTAAATGCCCGTATCTTTTGCAAGGCAGAAATAGGCAGTTCGAAAAGGGAGTGATCGTCGAAATGGCCGGGACGATCCACCCAAACACCCAACGATTTTAGAACATTGGGTTGGAAATGCTCAGTAAGGGAGGAAAGTAGGTGGTTGAGATCGCCCGCATTCGAAGCCGCGTCGATTCGCAGATTCACGCACTTGGCAGAAATTTTCAAGGGCCCCAAAAAAGCGAGAAGTAGCTCGATCCTTGCAGCGGTTATGCTGAATTTGTCCAATGAAAACATGACGCTGAACGTCGAAGTCGGGTCCAGGTCCAGGCTGTGACCTTCTGGCACGAGCATCTTCAGCTCCCTCAGCTTCTTCAGGGACGCAAGATGCTGCAATGTCTGTGCATTCACTGCTCCCGTCTCTAATATTTCCAAATTATCCCAGCACATGACAATATCAGAAAGCATGGTGCATGCACTAGCGGGTGGCATCGAGCAAGAAAATTCTTTGATCAAGGGACAAGCTTTTCCCAGACCTGCAACGAGATCGACCATTGCTGATGGCCAAAGCTCCGAATGGATGACTAGTCGAGTAAGGGAGTTGGAAATGCAGCGCCGAAGGCAAGGGAGAAGCACGTCGCGTTGGTCATTCCAGTACAGCTCGCGGAGGAGAGAGAACGGGGAGGATGGCGAAGCAGGAGAGTTGAGAAGAGCGAGCACAGCACTATCGTGCAGCTTACGAGCTTTCCAGTCATCATATCTTTCGAAAGTGAGTGAGCGCACGCGACACGCGTACTTTTGAAAAGTAACCCAATCATCGTCGACCAAGGGTCGGAGAAGCCGCTAAATCGATATATACCATGAACTGCAGTCGAAAGAGAAGAGCACCAGACTCACCATACTAAATCCACAGATATCCAACATGGTGCGACCCCTCACGGTGAATTTTACAGCTTGAGAACGAGCGTCTTGAGGCAGCCACATGACAAGCATATCTGGCGTTTGAATATGTGCCCATAGGGCATCCAGTGCCAGCTCTCGGAAAGCTCGACACGTCAATGCCAGGTGGTACAGAGTGGTAAATGATGGTTGAACACCGCTCTCTGTGACCTGCGTCAGTTCCGCGAATATGGCTTTCAACATCTCTGGGATCAACAGACAGGCATGCATTGGTACTAATCACAACTGAACATTGGGCGGTTATCGATCAGTCTTCCAGTGAGGCAGTATCTGGTACAATGATATGTTTCTCACCGAACTCGGGCCAAAAATTACCGCGATAGAACAAGTGTCAAAAGGCAAAATGTTGACTCGTGGTCGTCCGGGGTAGTTATTGTTCGAAGTCTCGGAGATTCTGGATGGCGCAACCTAGGCAACTTGAGGATCTGCGACACGCATGCGATCGCGAGAAGCTAAGAAGTGGGAAAGTTCAGAACTCAAAGTAATCAGACGCACCAACCTGGTACGACGGCCAAGTTTGTGAATCATGTCTTTGTTGAAAATGATCGATCGAATGTTTCGGATTGTGTGATTGATCAAAATTGACTAGTCTCTCGTCAGACCTGGGGATAAAACGTTCAACATACGTTCCAACGTTCAAGCCTCAGGTCTCGGCGAGTGAATAAATTATTACTTTGGTGAATGGTCGATTTCCTCGAAAACGAGGTTTGACGTAAATTCGGTGGGCCAATCATTAAGTAATATTATGTAACATCCCAGGATGAGATTTATTTTGTTGCAAACTCCGTCTTGCGACACCCAATATTCCGAAGGAGTCGAAGTATAAATTGTCGGACTCAATCTAAATACTGGATGGATATTCGCAGACTCATCGATGAGACTGCTGCCAATCGAGAGCTGGAGGCTAGATTTGGCAATGGCCTGATAATTATGAGCCACCACTGATAGTTGTTGTCCCACCACCTGCTTGACCGCGGATGTCATGTTGGGGCCCAACTAATGAATATCAAGGTAGATGTTCAGACTCAGATAATAGCTCCTTATTGTGACTAGAGGGACTGGACTGGACCTTGGACGGTCCTAGCAAAGTGAAGAAACTAGCGCGCAGACCTCTTTATCAACGTATCCAACACGCTCAAGCGGGCTACCCCCAAGCCGTGTCAAGGTGAAAATGTTTCATTTTCAGCCAAGCGGAAACGAGGTCTAGATCTTCGTCGCCGGTGATAGAGACATGCACTGGACTGAGATTGAGATCGGTGAGCCCTATAAAAAAACCCTGATCTTTCCAAAGGCGGTAGCACTCGGTTCGAAAAAGGGGTGATTGGTGGGGGTAAGTCATTCCAACACTCGACGATTCTCAAGCGCTGGGATTGAAGTGCTCTATCCAATAGAAGTTGCACAGAGACCATCAAAAGCCTTGGGAATGCATTGTTGTGAATCATATGCAGATGTTGAAGGGGATTGAATGTTTCAGATCGCGTGAGTGACCGAGATTGCTTGTGTCACTTGTGATTGGCCTTGCCATAGCTGCGCTTTGGATTCTGGACTGTCCATAGCAGTGGCTTTGTCTTCAAAGTTCGCCAGGACCATCCTAATAAATTGGGAAGTCGCAAACTTCACGATTTACTGGCTAAGTACCGTGTAACAGTCAGATTTCTCATGCTTAGCAAAATCCGCATTCCGGAATGTTGAAAGAGGCTCGCCACGCGGACACACGCTCAATGATTTCAAAAAATGTTAAAGCTCTCTGATCCTTATTGCATTTGGGAGAACGTAAAAGGTTTATTTGAAAGAGCGACATTTGCATCAAAGTCCAATAAGTAGTGCTTACAACTTCCCAAGCCTAGTATTGGGTGGCTCTTCTCCTAACAGCGCGCACCTTATCCTGATGCGTCAACCCTCTCTTCTCATGATACTTTCCCGGGTGGTACTTGCCGTCATCGACGTTTGAATTGGGATGGTACTGACCGTCGTTCATCTTTGAATCAAGGTGGTACTTGCCATCATCTGAGCGTTTGCCTTTGGTACCAACGTGATACTTGCCGTCGTTGAACATGGGATTCGGATGGTACTGACCGTCGTTCATCTTCGGATCAGGGTGGTACTTGCTATCATCCAAGCGTTTGCCTTTGGTACCGACGTGATATTTGCCGTCGTTGAACATGGGATTGGGATGGTACCCGCCGTCGTCAAACTTCGAAGCAGGGTGATAATGGCCATCGTCCGAGCGTTTTCCAGCGCCAGCTACGGCGCGCATTGCAGTCTCAGTGGGATTGGCTGCTGTCGTGGTAGTAGTTCCAGACGTGGCCGTGACAGTCTCCCTTGCAGACGTGGAGGAGGCTATTGTTGTTGGAGAATTCGTCGTCGCGGGCGCAGTGGAGCCCGTTTGGGACGTCGGGGTCGCTGTTCCGGTGCCGGGTACTGCATTGAGTACGACATTCAATATAGACGCGCCTGGGTTGGGAATCGCAACGGGGACAGGGTCTGCAAGAGCGGCATTGTGATACTGGCCATCATCGTAAGCTGTATTGGGATGATACTGGCCATCGTCGTAGGATGTATTGGGGTGGTACAATCCGTCGTCAAATGTCTGGGTGGGAGTAGGAGAAGACGTATCCGTCGCGGCGGTATTTGTAGGAGTATCCTGGCCATTGTTATACGTGGGGTTGGGGTGATACTGGCCATCGTCGTACGAAGGGTTCGGGTGGTACTGACCATCGTCGTACCTCTTGCCCTTGCCTGGAGAGGGACTTGCTGTAGCAGCAGCGCTATGTGATTGCGTCTGGGAAGTTGAGTCAGCGAAAAGATGGTGCTTGTCAGGCGCGACGACATACTGGCTTGTCTTTATTCTGACTAGGCTGGACTTGAGCATTCTTATCCACGACAACGTCGTGTTGCACGCTGGGGGTGTTCTGCACATCGGTAATCTGCACCGTCGATTAACGAGGTGAGGGTTTCAGTATTATAAGTGTGTACAACATACTGGAGCTTGTCCCTGAGCTTGTTCGTGGGACTGAGAACCTGGGTGCTGTTCGATGACGTGTACGGGGTGTTTGTCGGTGACAGCGACAGCCTTAGAAGTGTGGTTGGAATGAGTCCCATTAGGGCTGGTGACAAGAATATCGAGAGCCCTAGTGGTGTGGTTGGCGTGAGTACCATTAGGGCCCGGAGTAGGATCGACTAAGCCTGCGCTGAGAGACACGTATGGACTCGGAGAAGGAAAGACAGGAGTAGCAGACGCGAGGAGACAAAAGGCGAGGAGGGCGGCGAAGCGAGAAACTAGTTGAACCATGATGCTAGATAGTATGAAAATAGTAAAGAATGTATTGTAATTTCTGATAGCGATGTGAGAGAAAGAAGGAAGAAGGAACACTTGTGTTCGTCCTGGCTGACGACCGCTATTTATCATGTTTCGACGACTCGGTAGGGGACCAATCACAGGTCAGTAAAAAGGATGTCGTACGTGATCGACGTCATCGGTGACTTCCAGAGGCTGCCATGCCGAAGGAACTCAGCCTGGCATCTTGATTGGCGCACTACAATAAATTCTAGCTTGAAATATACCGTTGTCAATGAGTCCATGCGCGTGAAGACAACGCCCTAAAAACAGAGTTGAACCGGAGATGCGGCACACTCACCATGACCTCCCGTTCATGGGTTTGAACCAAACCAAACGGAAGGTTACCGTGACTTGCCTCCAAGTAGTACATAGGTGCCAAGTTTGCCAGACGTGCTACGCAGGGCCTAAGCTGAGCTCTCAATAGTGCCGCATGATCATTTAGTATTGTCGTGGTGGTTCGTAGAGTCGCAGTTTATCGAGTACGATGTGTGGATTTATCAACGCAAGTGTAAGACTTTACAGTCGAGTCCATTTAAGGCAGCTTAAGTAATCATGTATTTTTTTTTTTTTTTTTTTTTTTTTTAGACAAGCGATATATATTTGTAGCAACTGACAAAATCTAGCTCTACAAATACGCGCTATAGCGGAACACATAGGGTTCCGGTCCGAGGAAAAATGCATTTACGCACTCCCATTTTGTGGGGTGTGTGGGGCTCTGTGGCTACCTGGTTGCCTCGTTCGAAGAGGGCCTGGGCGGCTTAATACCCACTAAAACCTCTAGGGCGATAGCCCAGTTCTTTGGAAGGGGGTTGTTTGAGGTGATTATTTCTTTCCACGTGGATGTAACGAGCTGTTGGAAAGGTGAGGTGCGGTTAATTCTTCTCGCTGTGAGTCTGTCTATTTGTAGTTGTTTATTTATGGTTGATGTCCATCGTTTTGTGATTGTTTGTTTTGTGTATGTGGTGCCGTTTATTGTTCTGTCGCACCTCATCGTCCATATTAGGTACGCGGATTCGGATATCAGAATTTTCAGGAGTCTGGAGGCGCCTTTTTGTGAGTTGTTCGCTGGTTGATTGTCGGGTGGGTTATTTTGTCTAGTTAACGGTGGTAGGTTTATGTTTCCGCATCCTAGGACTGTTCCTATGCTTATCCTTGGCCAGTTACCAAATTTTAGGGGCCATGTTCGTTTGGCTAGGGACCAGATTAGTGAGCTGGTATTATTTGGGCAGTTGATCAAAATGTGTTCTAGGGATTCGTTGTCTGCGTTGCAGTGGGTGCATTTCGCCCGATGTTCATATGTTGGTATTTTTGACCAGTATTCTCCGATTTTATGTGCACCGTGCATGGCTTTGTACAGGAACTGTCTCGTCTTGCGAGATATATCTTTGTGTCTGCTATTCTCCCAAATGCTGGCATCTGTTTCTAGGTGTCCGGTTATTTCTTGTATTGCAAATCTGGTAACGTCCAGGTTGTTCGTGGTTTTTTGTCTCGGGATCGTTGGTCTGTTTTCTCTTATGCCTTTGTATGCGAGGGATTGTGAGATGGCTGACAGTTTTGCTCCTTGTAGGTTGAATTCACTTGGTACGGTTAAGTTTAATTCGTCTGGCTGTGGTTTGTTTGCTCCTTCTTTTGCCAGTCTATCGGCATGTTCGTTTCCTTGATGTCCGTTGTGTCCTTTTACCCATATGAATGCGGTTTGGGCTGACCGTCTTCGTAGATGGTATGCTGTTGCTCTTATATATTCACTATTTGCGATGCCGATCCATCCGGTGTCTTCCCAATGTGGGAGGTGTTTGGTTAAGCTATCAATGGCATACCTGGAGTCGGTTACAAAGGTTATAGGTATGTATGGTTCTGTTCGTTGCAGTGCTAGTAGTATTGCTGACAGTTCTGCTATCTGGTTTGAGTGTTTCTGTCCTGGGATTCTGAAGGCGAGGTTTTTGGGGTGGTTTTCTCCGATCCATATTCCGCATCCACTTTGTGCGTTTTCTTTTCCATTGTTCAAGCATGAGCCGTCAGTGAAGATGGTCATGTTGTCCTGTATGAGATTGAGGCCCCTTGTCGGTGCTTGTAGGCGGTGTGCTGGGGTGAGTGATGTGTTGTTTGGGTCTAGGAAGATTCTGAAGCATTCTGATAGGCTGGATCGTATCGTTACTGTGGGATCGAAGAGGATTTCCCCTTGTCGTCTTTGGTGTGTCTGATAGTTCTTTTCTTTTCTGCGGTGAGTTAGTGATAGTCCGTCTTTTTTCGGTTTTGTTTTGGTGTTAAATTTGGGTGCGATTTTAAACAGGATTTCATTTGCGTATTGGGCGCAGGTGTGAGGGTTATTGCATCCTTCTTCTCAGTCTTTATTACATGCGGTACAGGGGCATGTTTTTCTCGGGAAGTGTTGGTCGTTCTCGCTGATTCGCGTTAGTCTTTTCCTGATTTTTAGAAGGTGTTTGATGTTGTCCGATTTATGCGTGTCTATTAGGCATTTATTTTTTGATTTGTGGTACGTGTTCTTAGGTGCGCCTGGATGGCACCATGATGGGAGACTTTTCTTAAGTTCTTTTGAGAGTTTTATCGGTGCGAAACTGATGTTGAGTTTTTTCGCTGTTTTTAGTATCATTTGTGCTTCGCGAGGTAGGGATGTCACTCTGGGGCCTCTTGTCGGAGGGACCCATGATGTGAGGAATGGGTTAGTGTTTTCATTATTGTTGTGTTTCGGTCTTATTTTGTTCAGTATTAGGTCCATTATCGAGGCCCATGTTGGTCTGGACGGGGAAAGATCTAGGTACGATTTTACCCATGTCACTTCTATTGCTTCATTTCTTGATTTGATGTCGAGTAGGCCGATTCCGCCTTCTTCTTTTGGGCGGTGCATTTGTTCTAGGCTAATGGGGGGGGGTGCGTGCATTGTTCCAGATGAAGTTGCGTATGATCTTTGTCATTGCGGCTTCAATGTTCTTTGGCATACCTTGGGCTTTAGTTAGGAATTGTGTCATGCCGCCTGCGATCATTTGTACTATTAGTTTTTTTCCGTCTAGAGTTGGGTGGCCTTTTTGCCATTTTTTCAGTGCTATGTTGACATTGTTCAGTATCGGTTCCCATGGGGTTACATCATTGGTTTTGTTACCAATCCAGGCGCCTAAAGACCTTATGGGGTGGCTGTCCGGTGCTATTCTAATGTCGTTGCTTAGTGGTGGTTCGAGGTGGTTTGGTTGCCGTGTTCGTATTACTCTGTCATGGTGCGTTTTTGATCCTATTGGTATTATTTCGGTTTTTTCGAGGTTGAATTTTGCTCCAGATGCGCGACACCACTTTGATAGTATTGTTTCTAGGTCACTGTATTTGTCCGTCTCATTTAGGTATATGGTGGTGTCATCGGCATATAGGTTTACTATTATTTTGTCTGTTAGTCCCGGTATGTTGTAGCCTGTGAGTTTTTCTGATTTTCGTAGTGTGCATGCTAATGGTTCAATTGCGAGGTCGAAGAGGAGGCATGAGAGGGGGTCGCCTTGGCGTACCCCTCTGGTGACTCGGAACGGGGCACTTAGTATGCCGTTTATTGCCACCTTAGTGTGTGCATTTTTATACAGGGCCTTGACCGTCGTGATGAAGGTTTGTGGGAGCTGGAAGGCTTCGAGGGTTGTTATTAGGTAGTCATGTTTTATTCTGTCATATGCTTTTTCTTGATCGAGCGCAATTAGGACACCGTTTTCCTCAGCAATGTCTGCATATTCGATCATTAGTCTTGCCAGACGTATGGGGTCGAAAATGGAGCGTTTAGGTATGAAGCTGCTTTGGTCGGAGTGAATCAGTGAGTGTACTTCTCGTGCTAATTGCATAGCTAGTGCTTTCGTGAGGATCTTATAGTCGGTGTTCAGCAGGGTGATCGGTCTGTAAGGATCGCATATCCTGTACACCCCGACTATACCTTCTCAACGAGACATAAGGACACGTGTCCAGTCAGCCATGTGACTCACTGATGCGAAGAAGCACTACGCTTCGCATCCGAGTCACGCGGATACATCCTCCTTTCTTACCTTCATGTTTCGTTATCGTCGACAACTAGATCGGTCCTTCACTCACCCTCATACGAAACCCTGGACATTCACAAACCCTTTCTCTCGTTAATTCGTCTCATTTTCACTCTATTGCCCTAAAAACAGTCAAGCCGCTACGAAACTTTCGTTATTCCTGTGCACGGCAAGCCACCTAATACCACCTTCATTCAAATATTTCGTACCCTCACTCATTCCCGCAGCTCTACCCTGTCAGGCGCAGCGCCACCTATTTTCCGTCTCACAAAAACCTTCAATCTCGTAACAGCGAGGACCCTTACACTCTCGCAACTTAAATACAACCATGTACATTTTTTTCAACAGAGAATCTTTATCTTCCCACTAGATGCACGCAGTCCATCCCTCTGAGAGTCCTCTACTCTGAATCCCGATCCGCTCGTTATCATACTCTCTCTAACTCTCGCGTCAGTTTCATTTCCGACACCAAGGGTACAATCCCCGTCGAACTCAATAGCAGCCTTACATATTTTGGAGCCCACCGCGAGGGGATTGTTTTAACACCCCTTCGCACTTCGAATTAGATTCGCGGATCTATCTGGGTCCTCTAGTCTGACTCGATCAATACCCGGTCTCTAGACCACCCCTATTATAACTATTTCAAAATATTATCATCCTAACGCGCAGATTCACCTCGAGAAACAGCCACCTGCGCTGGCCCCCAAGAAGAACCGAAACCGTGCTAACACAGTTGACTCCCCATCTACTCTATCCTTAACACAACCATTGTCTCTCAGCCTTCTCCGAACGCCAGTCCGCCACCAATCAGTACAATCGAGCGCAGACACTTCCGAAGGACCATCTGAGTCTTCTCTTTCGGACGACGAAACCATAGGACCTTCTCCCCACACAAACCTTCTCTTCCCTGTCATCCCTCAACCAACGTTCATCCTCAGACCAGCCGTATTCGAGCCCGAAACTCCTCATCTCCCTGCCTCCAACGAAACCATCCCCCCTGCAAAATCACTCCCTCCTATACCTCCGCCAGACTCCCTTCGTGTACCCACAGCTCTACCCAACACTCTCACTCATAAAGCTGCCGCGTTCTCTAACGCCCCAGTTGTAGCTTCAGCCGCTCCGTTACCGACACTCCCCGCCCAAAATTCGACCTCTACGGTACCTCAGCCCCAACCTAATCCTTTTGCACACCACGTACCCACATCCTCATCCTCGTCAAAAATGTCCAACGCATCTAGAGGCATTAACGCAATGCCGGGTGCCAACTCCACCAAAGCCCCATCGTTCAATGGCGAGACCTCGGAACTACTGGAGTTCTTCGAGCTCTTCGAAGACTTAGCCGACGCTTGCACACTTACTCCCGCAGAAAAATGCAAGACAATCGTTCGATATGTGGATATTCAAACGAAACGCTTCTGGGTGACGTTAACGGGCTACGAAAGTAGAGATTTCTCCGTCTTTAAAGATAGTATTCTGGCCCAATACTCTGGTGCTGCCAAAGGCCAGCGTTATACTATACGGGATTTGGAGCGCATCGTAATCAGCAACGTCGACAACGATATCTCGACCGAAACGGAGCTCTTACAATATTACCGCCAATTTCGTCCCATAGCGCACTGGCTCGTTGCAAATGGCAAAATATCGACACGAGAACGCGACAGGTACTTCTGGCAGGGGTTACCAGCCACCACCCGACGGGCTATTGACAGACGCCTTGAGCTGAAGAACCCGGCTTATTCAAGAACGGAAGCCACAGACTTTGAAGAAGTACTCAAAGCTGGCCGATTCGTGTTCTCTGACGACGCCTTCGACGCTGATCTGAATGAGCCCATAGCTACCCGAATACGTACCATACGGGAAGGACGAACGACCCGAGTTAAGGTTCCAGTTCCATGGGATTCAGACGAAGAAGATGAGAGAAAGGACGCTAGGAAGGAGGTTCTGACCAAACGAGTAGCCTTTGCAGCACCCCCCGCCCCTCCAGTCAAATCTACCATCGACGAAGTGGAGGATCTTGCTCGAAAGATGCATGGATTAGATATTGGAGACGTGGCCTATTCCGGATGTTATACTCGTCTCGTCTGCCTCGCACCAGCAGCAGCACAGGCATGGGCACCTCCCAAATCGCGACAAACTCTCGCAAATTCCTCGACGACGCATGCCCTACCCTATCTCCCCCTCCCTCCCATTCACTCCCCCTCGAATTCCTTACCAAGTCCAAAATGTTTCTTCTGCGGAGGGCCCCACGTGATGCGCACTTGCGCAATTGCCGGAGAGTATTTACGAGCAGGAAGAATTATCCGAGATGGGCCTTACTTTGCGTACCCCGATCGATCTCGTATACGACGATACGGGGATGAAACGTTCCAACAGGTGATCGATGCCAGATATGCCCCTGTACGCTCTTCCACCCCAGCTACAGGATCAAACTCTATCCCTGTAGAAACCTCTCGCCAAGAACTTAACC